CGCCTGCCGGCTTGGCTCCGATGCCATGTGTGTCCGAAGGGGTGGCCCAGTCCAAGGAGAGAGAGAGAGAGAGAGAGAGAGAGAGAGAGAGAGAGAGAGAGAATAATGGCTGATGACAGGTCTGGTGCCTCCACCAGATGGAAGCTTTTCACTGTTGACCCCTATTGAGCTTGTCGGGCTTTGCCTGGAGCTTACATCCGGTACGACTTGAACCATCGAAGTGGCCCTGCTGCTTCAAATTCATTGCGCCCATAGCGTACTTTGCAAAAGAGCTTTGACTTCTGCCCGCTGTCTATCAGGCAACGTCGTCCGACCAATTCTTCAGGAGGAAGAAATGACACTCAGCAGATCTCAGCAGATCGCAGCATGCAGTGACAAAATCGGGCATGTGGATACATCAACGCATCGACCGCTGGTGAGCGAAGGGTCATCCCCAAAGTGACAGAGCCGGTCAAAGTCTTCGGCTGCCCAGCTCAAGGGTAAGGAGCCTTTCAGAGAGAGAGAGGGGGTCGATTTCTGCGTGATCTCGAGCGGTCTTTGCTAGGCTCGATTCATGGGCAGCTTTGTGACCTCCTCTCTTGGTTCAAATGGCACAAGCCGCCATCAGACGAGCGCACGGGTGACCTAAGGCACTTCAGCAGCACTTGTCGCCAATGTTTATTTTTTATGCTTGAGTTTCATGTCGGGAAGTGGACTTTGCTGGTCGAGCTGGAAGCACGACCTTTGGCGGCCTGATGCACATAGCAAGGTACGTAAACTATGTCTTCTTGGGCGACTATGCAGACCGTGGAGGCCATGGATTGGAGGTGTTGTCGATCCTCTTCTCCCTGAAGGCCGGAAACTGCAAAACGAATTGGCGGTCAGCCGTGGTTTCGCAAGAAGGGGTAGATCATGCGATATCATGCAGTTGACCCAAATGATCTGATTTATGCCGTGCGCGAGCCGCAACGACTGCGATGTTTGGGGCAAGGTGCTGTTTCCCAGCAGAGTCTTTCTCCTTCGCGGGCACCATGCGCTGCGGCTGCAAAGACACTGACGACAATGTCCTCTCTGCATTGGCAGATGTTGGCCCGTGGACAGGTTGTGAGAGTGCCACGCTCAACAGCCTTGCATACCACGCGAGGTCACACCTCTTCTGATTGCTTGTGGAGGAAGGTTCTGCAATCTAAGGAAAATCGACACGTCAACTACCATCTTGGCCTTCGGCAAGAATGCGAGAGGCGCCTCGGCCTGGCAGGACCAGTCTGAAGCAAAAGCAGTCAAAAGAGGAAGCAAGGCACTACATGTCCTGTGGCATGCTTTAAGACCTGCAGATGACAGGACTTGAGGTCTTCGAGTACCTGAACCAGACGTGCCTCGGCATGTGTTTATCCTTCGGCAGTCAGTGACAATGTGAGCGGCTTGGCGATTTCAGTCTTGGTGCCTCCAAAGCCTGGAAAGATAGAAGCGCGCTCCGAGGGAACACAACAGCCAACAGGATCAACTGCAACGGAGCCTGCCATCCGCCTGCCATCCGCCTTGATGCCTTGAGGTTCGACAACCTCTCCCTTGCGGCCCTGACAAGGAGCCGCTTTCTGGCGATGGGGCCGGGCGTTGTGCCGGCATCGCTGGGGACAGTGGACGCTTGTTGAAGCAGAGGTTGCAATGCTGCTTTTTTGCCTCTCGCAGCTCCTTCAAGCTTGAATCTGGAGTCCTTGAATCAAGATCAAGCTTTCGCGCATGTCACAGGCCTCTTGCATGTTGATCTCCCGTCAGTGCCAAGGATCAGCTCAACTGCTACAGCAAGCCTCTCTCATTGCCGCACACCGATTGCACATGATCATAGACGCATTCAGGAAACAAAGCCGAAATTCAGGCATGGTTGAGGGACTTACAACCGCGTTGCTGTTCTCGGGCAGTATTGCGTTTCCTAAATCTCTTGGGCTTCCGTTCGAATTGTCTCAGGCCGTTGCGAATTTCTGCCGCTACTGGCTGCTTTTGTTTGCAGAAGTCCTGCGTTCCGCATTCTTCGCCCGAATGTCGCGGCAACCGATTGCATGATGGTGCTCTGAGAAGACTTGTTGCCAGTACTGGTTTTCCCAACAAGGCTGTCTGCAGCAGGGAGACGAGAATCACACGGCCGAACCCGCAGATGCTTGCTATCAAACAACGAAATGAGACAGTAGTCGGTTCGGAAAACCATGGAAAACCCAGACCAATCCGTGTCTCCAACAAGCGTCAATCGTTTCAGGCAACCAGTTCGTAGGATGGTCACGGTTGTCCCTTCAACGCTGCACCTTGTAACCAGGGTAGGCGTGACGTAGCTTTGTATCTTGCTCTTGGACAGACAAAAGCACCAGGACTACAAGGCAAGACATGCAAGACCTACTGAAGAACAGTGAGGCTTCAATCAGCCAAAGCTGTGCCAACCTTTTGCTCAAAGTCAGAAACTCCGCGTCGGCCTACTGAGGCATCCAGCACAGGCCGTCGATGAGGTTGGCAAGGATTGCGGGACGGAGAAGGTAGGGATGCAACTGTATAGATGCATTGGACTGTATAGCTCTATGTAGGCTTTGAGGTGGGGGTGGGCAGATGGACGACGGTAGACGTGTAGGGGGCCGCCATACCAAACACGGTCAAGCGGATTCGGGCAGGCTGCGAAGCTAGACGGATTCAGGGAAGGCAAATCGGTGGACTCGGTATTCGTAAGCTGGATTCTGCTTTGGAAGTTAGACAAGTAGAGAAGCTTACGGCTTGCGCCCCAAACTCGTACGTACAACTCCTCTACCGCATCGAAGATTTCTCATGATTCTTCTTATTTGGGAAAGAGATGGGAAGAGCAATTCAAACCTCGCAGCATCTCGCAGCGCCTTCTCATGGTGCTGGCAGGTCTTGTTAGAGCTCTTCATGCACCTTGGACCACAATAAGTCTTGTCCATAAGTGAGCCATGAAGTGAAGTTCGACGTAATGCAGCGAGCCTGGATTGTCTAGGTGGGTACTAGACTTACTAGATTCTGCCATGGCAGAAAGGAAAGCCAGTACTCTGGGTGATGTGTGAGGGGGGCTAGGCCAGCATGTCAGCCTTCTCGAGCGAGAAGCTGCCTTGGTCAGGGCCACTGACATGAGACCGTGAGGCCAACTTCACTGCTCTCTCGCGAGCTGGGAGTGAGCACGGTGCTTGATGACAAGTCCCTGAAGGTGCACTGCATTGGGCATTGGGGTTCGGGTTGCTGTGCCTCTTATGTTCATGCTGTGGTGCTGGTCCAGGAGTTCTGTGCATCTCAGAAGCTCTTGGGTGTCGTTCTCGGCCGCCAGAGCCCAGGCTCATACTTAGACATTACCGTCGGATAGACGTTCAGCCCGAAACTTTCGTTTCTTGGCTTCTAGTCGCCCTGGCCACTGGGCTCAGCGACTCAAAGGTGTAACGGCTGTTGCGCGTGTTGCGTGTATGCCCTCGACCGAAGGAAGTAGGACAATAGAGTCCGTGAGGGTTTGCACAGGGCACTGGCTCACCATGAGAAGCAAGTTAACGACAAGATCGCCAGCATTGTGTTCCCAAATCAGGGCCCGAATGCCAGGCCCTGAACCTTCAATGAACTGCACCTAGTCGGCGCGATTTCTCCACTCGGGGTTTTGCTGGCGCATGCCTTTGCGGCGCCAGGATTTAGCCGCCTGGGCTGGCAGAGGCCGAACTTCCATGACGGCCTTGGGCACAAACTGTTTCAACAACAGGTGGCCGCGACATGCTATACCTCTCTCCGCATCACCAGAACTCGAATGAACATGTATTCGAACAACCCAAATGCCGCACTTGCAAGTAGGACGCAGGAGGGCCGCAGGAGGACGGTAGGAGGACACATAGAAATTGCTGGCAGGCATGAGATTCTGAACCACAACTCGCATGACTTAGTTTGTGTACTGGAAATGTGACGTCCGCCTAGCAGTGCTCCTACGTCTGGGTCTGAGAGGCTTCGGCCGGCAGCTTAAAGATCTCCGCTGCTCGACAGTGATTTTGTGGTGAGCCGTTCCTAGAATCCTGGAAGGGCTAAGAGCAAACAGCTCAGAGGATCACGAGCACCGAGATCCGTTGTTGGAGAAGCCGAACGGCATGCGGTTTTCAACGCAAGGGAGGGTTGAAAGTGCAAACTGGTGAGCTGATCTGCCGACCCGCCGGCTTGTCTGCATAGTCTGGGGCTTTGCGTTTGTGATTTTTGGGGTTAAGCATGATGGCCCGCTCGAGGTGGCAATGGTGGGGGCCTGCGGGGGTACCGCATTGGTACACCGATATTGGGGTGGGACAAGACATGGGTGCCAGGATTCGGATGCAACTGCTCGGCCTAGGATTTCCATGGCTTTCCATCGCACGGGTTCCTCGTGTTGTAACAGTTGTAACAGGCGCCGGAGCCATCAAGCCGAAAAGCCAGTAGCCAGGAAGCCAGCAAATCCATGAGATCTGCTGGTGTTAGGCATTAGGCCTGGCTCTGAGCCAACTCCGCCACCAGAAATGCTTGAAACAGGTCCCGGCCCCACAATGAAGTCATCATGAGTTTTTGGCGTGCAGTGTTCATGGTGTGAGTGTGTTAGTGTGTGAGAGTGTGTGTGTGTGTGTGCGTGTGTGTCAGTCACTCAGTCAACCAGTCATTCAGTCAGTCAATCAGTCAATCAGTCAGTCAGTCAGTGTGTGTGTGTGTGTGTGTGTGTGTGTGTGTGTGTCTGTGTGTCAGTCCGTGTGTGTGTGTGTGTGTGTGTGTGTGTGTGTGTGTGTGTGTGTGTGTGTGTGTGTGTGTGTGTGTATGGGTGGGTGTGTCCGCAAACTTAACTTCGGGACACAGTCACTGTTTGCGCGCAGCGTGAGTCGTCCCAGCCCAATCCCACATGCGGGTTTCAGGCTTCAGGTACTCCAGGGGGGGGAGATGGCGAATTGGTGGGGTTTAGCAGGGGCTTCGCACGCCTTGCAGTCCAACATGGACCTAGTCACCTAGTCACCTAGTCAGATACTGGTCGATGTGTAAGTGCCAAGGATCTCGCCCCATGGCCACTCGCAGGAGGACTGTGTGATAAGGCTCCTGCCCTCTTGCAGCCAGAAGTTGTCTCAGATTTCGTGCCACACTGGGAGTGCGGTACAATCATTCTTGAGCTCCAGTGACGTCTGATCCACTGGGTTGCCGCGCACCGAGACAAGGCTCCAAGGGGCACGGTGGTGCAAATTGTTGCTCTGGCAGGGTTTGCTCCTGCCTGAACTACTGCGACCTGCCTGTGGGCAATCTGGCTTCCATCCTCTACATCATGATCGGCACTGACTCCACGGCCATGATCAGACCAAAGGTCGGAGGGGCTGCATCCTACCGAGCTCCCAATTGCTTCTTGGGATGTCAGCGGAGGTCATGACCACGTTCCTCGACAAGCGCCACTACCTCTCTGGAGCCTCGGCTGAAGCCTAGGGTTGATCTGCGCAAATGAGTGCGTCACCTGTGGGTCGCAAAGTGCAAAGTGCCTCACACAACCTTACACAAGCTTAAATGCGGTTGCAGGCATGGCTTGCACCAGGTTCTTTGACAATCTCTAGCCGGGTTCTGACCCAGTCCCAACTCCAACCGGCCTTCCGATGTTCTGCTTGCTTTTTGGCGGATGTTTGTGTACTCTGCTGTCAGACTACCCGGGCATGACAGTGCCCCGGCGGAGCAGCTCGCCAAGCCGTTGGCCCAAGCAGGCCGGAGGAGTTTGGATGCAACAGCTGGGTTTAGGATGTAGGGTTTAAGGTTTAGGGTTTAGGGTTTAGGGGTTTCGGGTTTCGGGTTTCGGGTTTAGGTTACCGTTGCATGGAAGGAACTCGGTTTGAAGACATTCCGCATGGAAGACGCGCCCTCTTGTGCCTGCCAGATTCGTGCACCAACCCCGGATCGCATCATCCCAGCGGTGGAGCACTTAGTTGCTTTAACTTGAATGGAAGCTCTGAGCTTGTCACTATCGAGTCCCGCTTCTGCTGGCTTTGCCAACTTAGTTCGCTCTCTCGAGTGTTGCTGTTGAGCCTTGTGGCCTATGGTTAAGACGTCAAGGCACATGGAAATGCTCAAAAAGCTTGAATATTTAAATTAAGGACAAAATAGGGAAAATAGGAAAACAGGAAAAAATAAATTAGTAAAAAAAATAGTAAAAAATAGGAATGGAAGTTTCAGTGTGTGTTCCAAAAAATAGGAAAAAAGGAAAAAATAGGAACCGAAATAGGGGAAAACACATGACACATAGAACAAATAGGAAAAAGTATGGAAAAACTAATGTTTCTTTTTTGTAGTGTGTGGTGTCTCTGTTTTTTTTTGCTATTTTTTACTAATTGTAAACGCTTGCGCACGCCGCCTCGGCAGCCGGGCCGGCCCCAGGACAGGAAAGGAGGAAAGAGGGTTTCGCAAAAAAAAGGGGAGGAAGGGCAGAGGGGTGGGGGGGGGGGTGGGGGGGGTGGGGTGGGGAGGGGGGGGAGGAGGGGGGGGGGGGGGGAGGGGGGTGGGGAGGGAGGGGGGGAGGGAGGGGGGAGGGAGGGGGGAGGGGAGGGGGGAGGGAGGGGGATGGGAGGGGGGAGGGAGGGAGGGGGGAGGGAGGGGGGAGGGAGGGGGGAGGGAGGGGGGGGGAGGGGGGAGGGGGGCACTGTAGGAGCCACCGATTCTATTTTTTCTTATGTATTTCCTATTCCCAAAACCAGGCATTCTCGATTTGCTATTTTGGTTTCCTATTTTTCCTATTTTTCCCGTATTTTAATTATCTTAACTTCGGCTAGCATTTCCAATGCCTCGACGTCTTAAGCCTATGGCTGTCTGTCAGCTTTGCAGACAGGCCGAGCGCCGAGAACGAAGTGCAGAGGACAAGGCAGGGCCGAACGATGAAAGTCTGCTGAGTCTGGTGTGGGGATAACATTGGATCCTGGGAATGATCAAAACGACGCTGGCTTCGCCAGCTTCTCCTGGTGCGTGATGTGGGTGTAGCAATGTAGCCGCAGAACCTCGCACAGCTGCGCATGTTGGAGAAGGCCGATCCGCTCGTTCTCTTCCCCGCGTACAAGGCCTGCGCGCCGAAAAGGGCGCGCCCAGGATCCTTGGACCAACCCGACTCTGCATTCTGCCCAGCAGATTCGCTTGAGCCACTTGGCCCTCTCCTCCGCGATCCAAGGATCAACCATACCGGATGGCAGGCGTCCAGTTCCAGGCATGTGCCGACTCAGATTGCTCAGATTCGTATCTAGTGTGGGTCATTGGGTAGCGCGGCCCCATGAAATGCGGCCTTTTGAAGCTTGGCGTCTCCTGTTTTGTATCTTTGCAATACCACTAAGGTCATACTACGTGTAGTCTGGTCAGCGCGCCGTTCAGCTTTTTGTTGTGAGTCTCGCCGAAGTACACATGCTGCCTGTGATCTTATCATGCAGAGGCTAGACGACTTCGCGGAAGGCGCCAGTCACAGCCTGTTCCCGATTTCTGTGCCCGCGAGCGTTTGAGCTAAGCGGTGACCGCTATTGTCGCAAGGGCCGCTGCGCCATTTTCAAGTCAGTCAGCAATGCTCTGCATTGTGAGATCAAAGGGACACCAAGTCCTCATGTTGGCATGCTGCACAGGACAATGCAGCTTTGTTGTGAGTTTCACTGAGATCTCACGCTCGAGCGCAGCGAGGTAACAGCGCCATACAGCCCACTCTGTTCGATTGCGCGTGAGGTTCTACCGATTCGCAGATATCAAATTCGATGCGATAGTTAGGATCCCGAGCTCCGGGCAAAAGTTGGCGTCAGCAACGGCAAGGGGCTTGAAAAGGGGCGGCGTCATGGTGACGCTTGCTGCATGCGCACGGCTGCACTTGGGAGGGGGATTTTGCTGAGCCCTTGCAGCTTAAAGCCAGATCACCATGCCAGTTTTGAATCACAAGTGGCTGCAGTCCATGGGTGCCACGGCATCTGAGGCAGGTCCTGCAAACGCTTCTGGTCATGTATCGCTGCTCTTCGCGGGTCTTGGCAGAGCCAGAGGCTCGTCACGTGGCTCAGCAAAGCTACAGCTTGAAGCCCACGCTCATGCTGTTGACTGCGTGGCCACATAAAGCTGCGTTCGATATCTGCTGATTCCAGGAGAACTTCATTCACCGCGTGGAACGGCTGCTAGACAATGAGCTGGTCAGGCACGTCCTTGAGAGCATGTGGTAGGCAGCAAACATGCTGCCCTGCACCAGATCATGCCCACGCACAGACATGCATTCCAGCAATACCTCGAAATCGCGGGACTAGATTGCAGCCTGACCCATGGAACTTTCAACCCTTTCTGTGCGTGGTCAGACACGACCATTTCCGACCCTGTAAAGAGCCTCCTGGTTGCTGCATGTTGCGCGTAGCAGGCATGGCTTGTAGCGGGGATAGCAGCTGAAGAAGTTGGTACAGGGTTTGAGGACAGCGCCAATTAACGCAGGCATTGCATTGGGTGGGGCTGCTGAGCTGCTACGTGCTGCAGAAGTGGGCCGGTAGTTCTACTATATTCTACTTCTGGGCGCAATCTTTCAATCTTGGAGTATTGACGCTTCTACACTTTCAGACATGCGTGGAGGTTTGCGATCTCGTGCGGGCCTGAGCAGCGGGCACTACAACCTCTCTCACCAGTTTATCATACATGTGTTTGGAGCGCCTGCGGTTATGCTGAGCTGTCAGTGGTGCCTACAAGCTGCCTCCTAGTTTCTAGTTTCTGCATGTATGCTCCTTTTCAGGCAGCAACAGCAGCTATCTGCGAAAAATCAGGCATGGCGCCGCCTCAGACGGAGAATGATCCCAAAGCTTTGGTGTTGGCATTGGCTCTGCTAAAGAAGTCTGCGTGACAGCACTGACATCAGCTTCTGCCAGATGCACAAGAATTTTAGGGTTTAGGGTTTAGGGTTTAGGGTTTAGGGTTTATTATGCAGAAGTCTTCGCCCCTGGTGATTGATGCCAGGGCGCAGCCGGCGTGGTGCTGGCAGAAAGCATGATCTTTGCAGATGCCCGCACAGGTGACACCTTTCGCTTCAACCTAAACTCGTGATTGCGATGAGATGTTTGATAGAGCTGCATTCGCAGGCACACTATGAGCAGCGAGTCTGTGCAAGCACGATAGTCCAAGCTTGTCCTTCAGCAACAATTTCACTGTTTTTTTGTTGTAGTGCAAGACACCAATGACTTTAAAAATCGTCACCCATGCTCCTTTGGTACTCTGCCGGGTATGCCTGCTTCGGTAGAACACTGGGAGTTTGGACAATCATATTGACCACTGTCTTATGGTTTCTGTCCCCACCGGGTCCCCTGAAACTCCCGTGTTTGTTTTTGTTTGTCCTTCCCCCCTGTCCCCCCAAACCCCCCCCGCTAACTTGCCACCTGCCAACCCCTCCCTCCCTCGAGCACCCCCCCACCCCAGCAGTGTGTCTAGTCACCAATGCATGTGGGCCCTCAGGCTCAACAGGTTCACTCCAACACCTGTGTCGACTCTGCTCAGAAGGTCCTGAGGGGTGCCTGGCGAGTAACCGGCGCCGATGGTGCTACTGAGCTCCTACCGCCGCATGGATATCCTTTCTCCACTTCACTTTTGCTCCCCCCCCCCCCCCCCCGCATCCCCATATTTCACCATTTCTCGACATGAGTCCATTTTCACAACGTGGTGTCAGAAATAGATTCAATGTTTGCAAGGCATCCCCGCGGGGTCGCGTAGCTCATGATGGAAGTGTGAGGGGTCGCTGGCCACTTGTCAGGCAAGCGCAGCCGGTCCAAGCTCACATTGGAACGAGAGCACGAGCCACCGGACGAGGCGGCTGCACATCCCATCTACGATGCATCAAGTTAAAGTCATGATGGTCCGGCTTGGGGATTCACAGCTGCAGGACTCTGATCCAGACGACATGGACGTTCTCTCAAACTCCGGCGCTCGCCCAGGAGAGATGCTCAGAGAAGAGAGAGAGAGAGAGAGAGAGAGAGAGAAAGCGAGAAAGAGAGAGAGACGTGGGGGCGCGCATGCTGCGCGGGGCCCACGAAAAGAAAGAAAGAAAGAACAAGCGAAGGAACGAAAGAAAGGAATAAAAGGCACAGGAACGAAAGAAAGAAACAATGAAATACAAGAAAGAGAGAGAGGGAGGGAGAGAGAGAGAGATAGAGAGATAAAGAAAGAAAGAAAGAAGAGATAAATAAAAGAGCGAGAGAGCGAGAGAAAGCGCAACCATCCATATCCCGCTTTGCAGTCTCACATGGACACGCTGCAGAGCGAGAGAGCGAGAGAAAGCGCAACCATCCATATCCCGCTTTGCAGTCTCACATGGACACGCTGCAGACTGGGCGCGCCTAGTGCGCGGTGGGGGGGGGGGGGTTCGCTCCCCTCAAGCCCCGAAGAAGAAGAAGAAGAAGAAGAAGAAGAAGAAGAAGAAGAAGAAGAAGAAGAAGAAGAAGAAGAAGAAGAAGAAGAAGAAGAAGAAGAAGAAGAAGAAGAAAAAGAAGAAGAAGAAGAAGAAGAAGAAGAAGAAGAAGAAGAAGAAGAAGAAGAAGAAGAAGAAGAAGAATAAGAATAAGAATAAGAAGAAGAGAGAGAGACAGAGAGACTGAGAGAGAGTTTGTTTTTCGGGAACTTTCCTGGCCCTCAATCCCGGCAGAAGAAGATAATTTTAACGCTACGCGACCCGCCTCGGCCCGGCCCAGCGCATCCGCGTGAGCATGGTGATTCCGCAGCGCCCAAGTCGGGTTTAGGGTTCCGGGTTTATGGTTTATGGTCTGGGGTTTAGGGTTGAGGGTTAGTTTAGGATTGAGGGCTTAGGGCTCAAGGTTCTTGCTTTGGGGTTTAGGGTTTTTTTGGGTTTAGGGTTCAAGAGACGGTTCGGCTTGGATTGATCGTAGGGTTGAGCCAGGCCCCTCAGGGGGGGTAGGGGTGGAGGGGGAAGGGGGGCAGAGGGGAAAGGGGGGGGGGAGCTAAGATTGAAGGTTTCGGGTTTCGGTTACTCTTCGTCCCCGGAGTTGAGCCTCGAAAACCGGGGGGCAAAAAAGGGGGGCCTCGGCGGATTTGCGGCCGTGCTCACACCAGTGAGCCTCCGGCCCTCAAGCCAGCGCGTCGGAGCAGGAAAACTCCGCCTTTCACAAACACCTTATGTGAGCAAGCGCCAAAACCCCCAGCCATTCAATTAAGCAAGGGGAAAACCCTGTAAAACGATGGGAACACTTGAAAAGCGACCTCTTGTTGCGTCCATTCGCACCTTGAGCCCAGCCGCTCATGTGGCTTTTGGGGGGCGGGACTATGTGGGGGGGGGGGGGGTAGGGGGGGGGGGTGGGGGGGGGTAGGGGGGGGGGTGGGGGGGGGGTAGGGGGGGGGTAGGGGGGGGGGGTTAGGGGGGGGGGTAGGGGGAAAGGGGGGGGCCCTGCTGGGAAGGGCTGCAACTGCCTCTGGTCCTGGCGAACCATCCGCTTGCGGACCCTGCTCACCTAGGGGGGGTACCCATTTGAGGCAAAAAAAGGGGTCCGAAAAAGGGCTTTTGGGCCTGGGGGGAGGATTTGGAGGGGGGTGCCTGTTCTGACTACCAATACACCTTCGGCCCGAGGCCTCGGCGGATTTGTTTCTTTTTCGGGGGGCTAAGTGCACCAGAAGGAAGGAGGAAGGGACAGAATCAGATAGATTCACGGACTCGAGGTGCGTTTTGCATGCAGGCAACTTTCCGAGCGAGATGTCCCGCACGTCAAGTAACGACTCGGGCGAGAGGAGGACGTGGTGTCCATGGTGGCTCGCGACTAGCGGCTAGCTGCTTGCTCAATCAGCTGCTTGCAACTTGAAGCCTTGCAAATCCTTGCGCGAGCGAGAGGAACGGCGACGAGTCGCAGCGCGTGCTCAAAGCACCCTTCTTCCGGTCGTGGGAGGACCTGGGTTGCTTTCCATCATCTGCAGGCTGCTTTTGCTGACCGGAATAGTATGAATGAGCTCGTGGCTTAATGCAAAGGCGCCTCATGGCTCACATAAAACTCACTTCCATTGATCCGGTTGCCAATGCGGTTGCACCCCGGGTCACGCACAGGTGCCTCACCGTGCCCCACCTGTTCGCTAGCAAGTGTACATATCTGGCCCACGCAGGGAAGTATACTCCTAAACTGGGAACAGGTCTTGCCCTATCGCGGTACCATCTCCCAAGGTTCCAGGACGAGCGAAGTGTTGCACATCTTGCACGCTCGCGCTGAAGGACTTCATGGAGTTCGACAACAACTATAAGCACAAGCGCCTCGTCGCGCAAGCTGTGGCCTTGGGGCTTCGAGGGGATTATTAACGCCAACGTGCACGCGGCCTGCAAGTGCTTCAGGTGAGGGCCGAACGCCGCAGCTCACAGGTTTCAAAGGCTGCAAAGGCATAGAAGCAGGGGTCCACCGGGGCTTTGAAGGACAGGTTCTGAAAGGCTGTGGAAGTCCGTAAAGGGTCCGCAAAACGCCAAGAGGGTGCAAAGGGATTCCGACCCCAACACACCCCTCAAGACGACTCTTTCTGTTGCGGAGTCCGCGGGGGGTCCATTTGGCTGAGGCTGTTGGGCCATTGGGTCCATATAGGGCCCACAGAAGGGCCCATGCGTGGCCATACCCAAAGCGGATCCATGAGTTCCAAAGAGGGAGTCCATCGACTGTCCATAGGAGGTTCACAATCACAATCTTCCAGGTCCCTGCAGACGTGGTGCCATCAGCATGTTTTGAAGATTTTTGAAGTGCATCGACTGGTTTATCGCCTTTTTCCAGGCGTGGGAAGGCTCAGGGAGCGTCAGGGAGGTCAGGGAGCCTCAAACAGCCTCAGGGAGCCTCAGGGAGCCTCCCCCCCCCCCCTTCTCCCCCAGTCTCCGACCCCTCGTGTAGGCCTGAATGCATGCTACTTTCGCCCGAGTGTTCGTTCCGGTACGTTCTCAAGTACTCAAGTAATCTAGGCAGCAGCTCTCAGAAGTAGATGTTGATCCGGAAGACCTTTCAGGATCCCCATCACGCAGAGCGAGTGCTGGCCTCAGTACAGAGTAATGTGCTGCAGCTTCAAATTGAGTCGCTGCTGAGTTTCTCCCTCTTGCTGGAGAAGGAATCACAGGGCATGCAAGGCGGGTCAGGGAAGGGGGTGATTTTTCTTGAGAGCCCAAAGCTGTGCAGTTGCCATCTCCGCCATAATGTGGTATTGCTGTTCGGTACTGTATACCGTTATATACCATTGTTCCATGTCCATGCATTGCAACATCTGCAGTGGCCAGAAGCTGACAGGTTGGGATATGTGCGTTGACCGCAAGGAGATCAAGGTTGCCAAGGCCATGAGATGAGCAGCTCAGAGCCTGATGCCTGATGCATGTTGGACGTTTTTTGGCAAGTTCAGCCCATGGCACTGGCAATCTGGTGCACTTTCTTCCGCGGAAGTGTCTCAGTGAGGCTCAATTGGAACACTAAGGGCAATGTAAAGCCCCCAAGCATGGGAAAGCTCAATTGAGCAGCACACGCTTCAAGCCTCTCTTTGCCCGCCAGACGCTTCAGTCCGACGGCGGCGGATGTATTTTCCTGCGGGCCTGGGCCATCGGAACTCATGAACGCGGATACTGCATGCAATTCTGATGTGCGTACTCAGCTTTGTAGTCGGAAGCGGCAACTTCCCACGTTGTCACCGATGCTTTCCAGTCGCGAAAGATTGAGGCTGAGGGGCAGCATAGGCAAACTCATGAGGCGTGGTCATCGCTGCCGGATGTGGAGTTGCCGGTTGTCTTCCACATGTTCCACAAATGTGAGAAGCGCATGGAGCCGCTCGGCAGTTGTTCATGCTCTGGCACCGCTGGACAATGGCGAGTTTGTTCCTCCTGGAATGCATGCTTGCCTTTTTGAGGTGGGACCGTGCATTCTTCGAGATGAAAGTTCTCGATCAAGTTGAGGCGTTAACCCGCTCAGTCTCACCAGCATCTGACCCATCATTCTTGACCTTATCCAGGGATCTGACATTCTCTACAGCGTGTTGAGGGTCCCCGCCGTTGGGAGCCCGGCCCTACATGCTGTCCGTACCTGCATCGCGGGGAACCGCACTCCCACATGCCTTCGAGCGTGCGGCCCACTGTCGCTGTATCTAGACGCCCTCCCCGTGGCACTAGCGGTGTCGCTCGGTCACCAAGACTCTCAAAGACGTCATGCATACCATGATAGGCAGCATGGAGCAGGCCAGAGGCAGGTCGAAATGTCAGAAGCCCTCGCAAAAGAGACTCCTACTAAGTGCACTCCTCGCGACTACGTCCAGTACCGGCGAGTCAAGGTGCTGGAGGACCTTCAAATTAGAGTATGTCCAGTCTGTCCAAATGTTCTGGATTACCACGTGAAGCAGGATGGAACAATCCTCATCAGTCTACGTTCAGCTAACCACCCAAACATGCCGGAGAAGAATGGGTCGCAGGCTTAGTGCAAAAACTAAAACAAACATGCGCATCGGCATGCCAGTTTTCTGAGAAGTTATCGATGCCATCTCGCCTCTGTGTGAGCTGCGTGCGTCTTGCAGACTGAGAGGTACATTCGAGCAGAGTCCTTCACCTCGGGCTATGTGATGCGCCGGTACAATGACGGGCGCGGCTCTCAGCATCAGGGTCGAGTCCGAGTTGAGTCCTCCGCAAACCCCGATCTCGAACAGGGCGGAGAAGGGCACGAAAGTCTTCCTGATGACGTGCACGGATGTGAAGGCCAGAATTGCGGTTTTGGTGTGCGTGAGATCCAACATTCGCGACAACACACCGATGATTCGTGAAGCTGTAGGGCATCATCCCGAAGTGGATGATAAACTTTGTCGCCCCTCGGAAGCCGGGCGAGTGGATTGACTGCCTGAAGCGGGCGGCTGGGCCAGATTAAATGCCGGCGTGTGCTATGCTGCTATGCTTACCGCAGTCGCACATCATATGGTCAGCAACATCTTCTCCAAGAAGTACACTTCACTGAGTTACCGCATATGCCTGCACCGGTTTCTGTGAGTTGGGGCACTTCTTTACCCCGCGTCCGCCTTCGGATCTAGCATGCCCCAGCTGCGGCTCCTGCTGCTGCTACTGCTACTAGCTCTGCTACTACTCCTGCTTGTACTGCTGCTGCTTCGACAACAAGAAGTACCTTACTCCTCCCACGCCTGCTGCTGCTGCTGCTGCTGCTGCTGCCCCCTGCAATACCGGGATGCGCTTCCTTCAATCCTGCTGCACTGCCAACCCTGCCCACCTTTACGACTTTCTTGCTCACCTCATCAATGAACTCTTTCTAGCAAGTACTGGTACTCGCCACACACTACCGAGTAGGTGTTTCGTTTCTTGGTGGCCAGCACATGGTATCCAGGCTTGTCTCGATTATCAAGCTGCAAATCCAGACTACATGACCCTCGAAAAGGACATGCCAATGATGCTTTCTCACGCTGCCAGTCGAGCTTTTATCTTTGATCCAATCATTCCTCTGTGTGTCCGGAGGAAATGGAGCCGTTCAAGCAGAACCATCCTTTCGATTACGAGGACTGCTTAGTGCTTCCTTGGCACCACTTGTCCAGCTTGATTCTTCCACGCAGTGTTATTGATGATGGTGCTTGCTGGTCATGGATGATGGATGGGTGAAGGGTGATGGATGGTGAGCGATGAAGGGTGATGGTTTGGGTGTGGTCGTGGTTACCGTACTTGTTGTTGATCTCGTTGTTGTCGTTATTCTTGTTGATGTTGCTGTTTGCTATCTCCTGTTTGTTGCCTGTGCTTGCTTGCTTGCTTTCTTCCTGCTTGCTTGCTGGCTTTTGTTTTTTGTTATTTATTGTATTTTTGTTTTCGTTTGTTTGGGTTCATTTGTTTATCTGTTCGTTCCTTCGTTCGCTTGTTAGTTAGTTTCTTCTTTTTGTGTTTGCGCGCGCGCGCAAGCGCGCGCGGGTGTGTGTGTGTGTGTGTGTGTGTGTGTGTGTGTGTGTGTGTGTGTGTGTGTGTGTCGTGTGTGTCGTGTTTGTTGCGTTTGTTGCGTCTGTTGCGTTTGTTGTGTTTGTTGCGTTTGTTGTGTTTGTTGCGTTTGTCGTGTTTGTTGCATTTGTTGTGTTTGTTGCGTTTGTTGTGTTTGTTGTGTTTGTTGTGTTTGTTGTGTCTGTTGCGTTTGTTGTGTCTGCTTGTTTGACTGATTGACGGATCGATTGGTTGATGTTCGACTGATTGTCTGACTAGCTGATTGCTTGTGTGTGAGACAATACACACACTTCCCGTCATCCTTCAACGTGAAAGCCAAACATTATGCCAGCCCATGTTGGATCCAGACTTGATGCGCCTGTGTTGTGGTTGCTGTCGTTGTTTGGTTGTTTGGTTGTTTGGTTGTTGCGGTTGTGGCGGTCGTCGCTTCGCTTCTTATGGTTTTGTTTATGTTTTTGTTGCAGTTCCATTGTTCCTGCTCGGTGGTGCCGTGGTCTCTTAATTCAGGTTGCCAATAGTTTCTCGGATCATTGGGCCTCCAGAGTTGTTGTGGTGCTCCGTATGAGACTGTTCAACTTGAGGTTTCAGGATCTGGGTTGGGATGTTGCCCCCTATACTAACAGTCCTTAATCGGGATTTTTTTGTACCCCCTATTATAATCCCAATTAAGGACTGTTAGCTGCTACAGGCCAAGGGTTCATTTTGCTCCTGAGGACCGCATCAGGTCGTCTTAGAACTTGGGTTGGTTCGGGGTTCAGGGTCCAATCAAAGTTGGGGTTCAGTGGTGCAGGGATGAGGCCCACAAGATCCCATTGGCCGAGCAGAAGTATACCGCGTTCATGTGCAGGACGTGAACGCCATGGACACCTCAATTCGCAATCAGTCTCCGGTCAGACTGGCTTTGTTGCTGTACGTCCAGTTTTTGGCGACTCCATATATGAAATGCCACATGCCTCACTTCTATTGCAGCCTAGAGACGCCTGGAGTAGCAATTCTGGGGAGGGAATCCATCTGTTAGCTTCAATTGCTACAGGCCGGAGACGTTCAGGTTCGACTTTGCACATGTTCGAAATCTTCAGTTTCCTAAATCTGCGCGTTTTTGGCCAGACCTGGGTGACCCTCTGAACAGCAGTGACGCTGGATTATCACAATTCGGGGGCACTTCATGGAACTCCAGACTGCCACCATAGCCGACACCACTCGGCCGCAAGCATGCGCCCATGTCACAGAGTAACGACCCAAATCCCATGATGGCTAGCAAGCATTGGACGGGTTGCATCTCCGAATGCCTTGATAAAGCTGCATCGTGGTGGCATCATGCTTTCACCTGGCATGTTGAAGACATGCTCCTTGACGCCGAAATCGCCGGTGTCCTTTTCATTCAGGTAGTTTTCGTTTGTGATATTTTCAATTTTGCATCCTGGGCAGTCGACAAGTTGCTGGCTATTCAGCTTCTTGGTGTCCTGTGGACGCCCACCATTTGCCACAGCGCGATATGAATCCTAGTCGTGAGGTGGAGATGAGGCAGACTCTTCTCTCCACCGTCACTGGTACTCAACAATCAAGACCTTTTTCTGAGGTGCTGCGTTGATTCAGTTGTAAGTAGCTTACAACCAGCAAAGTATCTGCTACATACCACTTGCTGATTGCCAAAATACATAGGCGGTCAGTTCCTAGATGATGCCATTGTTTCCAGTGCCAGCTGCAGCTTAACCTTCTTGGTGAGTGAGCATGTCTGCTAAATGACAGATGCTCAGGGTAGCTGACAATGCTGATGCGAAGTGCCTGCAAGTACTTCCAGTGAAGTGAAGGCACTGGTTCTCGTAGATCCCACCAGTGGATGATGCATCAGATCCAGGTGTGGCTGTGCCGCATAAGCCACCTGCCAACTCCACCCGGTGCGAAAACATGACCATACCGGCTCATGAGGCCGTCGTTCTTGCCTTGCAGGCAACAAGCTCGCAACACACTTAGCAATTCAAGCGTCGTAGAAGCAGAGCACCGTTCTAGCTGCAACCCAACTGCAACCTTGGGTTCTCGGCTCGAAACCAATCTCCTGGTGCGGCATCAGCATTTCACCTTAATCAGAGGCCCCTGTGCTTCCTCCCCGCGACGCTGAGCGGGACAAGAGAAGGCCTTGAAGAGAGCACTTCGTACCACCACCACTGCTTTCAAGTCAAACACAGTGGTCGGAACCCATGGAACAGCAGAATGACCCGTCCTTGTTCAGGCAGGCCATGGCTGAAGAGGAGGTGGGGATGGGTTGCATGGTAGTGGGAGGTGCGATGTTGCAGCGCATACTGTCGATCCCTCTCATTGTCAGGCGGCCGAGGTGCCGCCTGAGCCTGTGCCTCCTCTCACGGAAGCTTTCTTGCAACAGAACTGGAGTCTATATCCCCCTCGGGAATTATTTGTTAAATTTTTGTTTATATAAAACCCAAGAGGATATTAAACATATTATTTTAATTGAGGTTCTAAGGGGAGTATAGGAGTGCTTAGCACATGCTCGGATATGAGCTGAGAGAGAGAGAGAGAGAGAGAGAGAGAGAGAGAGTATGTCACCAGACGGCGTGCTGCATGGACAAGTGGGACTGAGCACGGTAGGTAAGTTCCACCGTGACAATCGGGTAGTTTTCTTATCCTCTGCATGCAACTGCGGCCAGCATCCTGAAGTTGTGGTTCTGTCACAAGGACATGTAGACCGAGGGCGGTGGGCTTCTTGACAAGTCCTTGCAGCCAGAAACACATTCTGATTCTGTGTAGGCCCGGTTGCCTCATTGCAGGAACTTTCCCTGTGCAGCAAGCCCCTGAGGAAGAGGAGCTGGAAGCTCGTGCTATAGTCTTTGGAGAGATCTTCAAGGATTTTCCAGCATTGGAGGCCGCGGGGTTCAGAAGAGCTCTGCTGCCTGCTCCCGAGCCATCATGGCAGGTCAAGCAGAAGTCCATGGCAGAACGGAAAGAGAAGGAGGCCAGGTCGTAACAGAAGCCTAAGGGATGCAGGGTTTTAGGGTTTAGGGTTTTAGGGTTAGGTTTAGGGTTTAGGGTTTAGGGTTTAGGGTTTAGGGTTTAGGGTTTAGGGTTTAGGGTTTAGGGTTTAGGGTTTAGGGTTTAGGGTTTAGGGTTTAGGGTTTAGGGTTTAGGGTTTAGGGTTACCCAGCCCCCTTGAATGCTGAACATCGGATGGATACCCTCTTGTCTGTTCTGCTCGCGGCTGGGACTCGGACCCAGGCTTGTCTCCCTACAGGCTTCCCAGAGCAGGTTTTTTTAGGGGTTAGGGTTTAGGGTTTAGGGTTTAGGGTTTAGGGTTTAGGGTTTAGGGTTTAGGGTTTAGGGTTTAGGGTTTAGGGTTTAGGGCCAAAGTTTGCCCTTGCGATGCAACTTGAAGGCTGTCATTCTTTTAACCTCCGGTACATGGCTTTAGCCAATGACCGACAAGCCGAAGGAACCCCTTGCAACTTGATGTTCTCCGGAGCTCCCCTCTCTCTCTCTCTCTCGCTTCGATGCAACTTGAAGTTTTTTAGTTATGCGATGGAGGGGTCGTTCAGCAAGCAGAGGCTGCGGTCCCAGACCTCACATTCAAGACCCCCGCCCCCAATGCTTTTGCACCATGCCTCAACTCGCCTACTAAATCAACCCTTACAAGTCCCACGACGGAATCCCAAAGACAATACAAAACACCGCACGCCCTTACCCCAGACCTCACATAAACAACCCCCCCCCCCCACGCTTTCACCCCATTTCTCAACCAGCCTAATAAATCAAACCTTCCAAACCCACAAAACGCAAAGCACCTCCAAACAATCCAGACAATAATCCATAGCACAACCCCAAATCTCAAGCAACTCAAAGATCCAAAACACAAAGCACAATCCTTAGCCTTATCCATTCTATAACCAATATATAACCAATGTCCTAATGAGGTCGGGGTTAAGACACCCTTCTCGAAAAACAAAAACCAACGACTATGACCCTGGCCTTTGAATGCCATGCCATAGAAAAATTAGTATGAAGAAAAATTAAGTGTTTTTGTATGGTGTTGTCTTCTGGTTTTCTTTTATCATCATGTCTATTGTCCTTGCCTGAACAATCTCAACACCATTTTTCCATTCATTGCATAAACCATAGTCGTGCAGTTGTTTTCAGGCCCGTACTATAACTTGGTGGTGCTTTCAATATTATTGTTATTATTACTGGCGGGCGAGAGAAAGGTTAGACAAGCAGTGAGCAAAGGACCCTATTATTTCCCTATATTTAAAGGGGTCTTTTGCCTAACTTTAAGACTTGTCCTTTCATATGGTCTTTTCTCGTTTCTCTCACTCTTTCACTAACTTTAAGAGGGCATGGTTTGGGCACTTTTCCTGGCATCAATTGGGGGCTTCTCTGCTTACTAGCTCTGCTAATCACGAAATGTTTGTTGGCATTCCGCCCACATCTCGCAACATTTTGACATAATGGTCGCAACGAGTTCACAGCATGTTTTCTGTGTGAGCATGTTGTGGATCTTTCTGAGATGCGGCATGGACTTCTCAGACGTCACAAGTCCCTCTTGACCATGCTCGCAGCATGTTCATTCAAGTTGCGCACCCGCAGCGGACTTCCCGTGATTTGTTTGCGGGCTTCAGGCGCCACCCCCTCGCGAGGAAGGCGAGGATGCGCCGGAGGTGGTCGAGGCCTGGGGGAATCTGGGGGACTCCTAGGAGTAGAGGATCACAGCTTCCAAGACTTGCTGACAGAGTTGTACCAGGCCCCTGAACCCAACATCGCCCTTGCCTATAGCGAGCTGAACTTCTCCGTCGTTGCTTGCTCGCACATATGAGTCACATGAGCATGAAGCTACGCACCTCTGCTCCACCGTGGATGCACGGGAAAGCTTTGGATCTCAGATGAATAGCTTCGTGACCTTCGTGAAGGCCACGTGATCTGCTTCGCTCTATCATCTTCTTTGCGAGTCGCTAAGCACAGTGCGCAGGAGAAGTGCGGGCCGCTTTTCCCGAACCGAGGCACGAAGCATCTTAAGCTGCCTTCAGTTTATGCACGCCGGCAGGATCGCGCAGGTGTATGCAGGCTGTTCGGGTGAACTTGGCTCAAGAAAGCTGCCACGCCGAGTCGTAGGCTAGTGCCTGCTTCAATCCCTTAGCACACGAGCATTTGGGCACAATGGGCTGCTGAGGCCCAAAGAAAGGCAAATACTCCAAGTATGTAAGGGAGCAAGCGCGGCAGCAACGCCAGGCACTGAATGCGGCCGCTCGCACTCCAAGCGCCAAGCAATCTCGATCACGGACCTTCGAAGATGTCTTCGAGAACCGGCGTTCGGCAAGTGCGCCACCAAAACGTGGCAAAGAGGAGCTCTCAGTAAAGCCACAGCAAGCTGGCGGGAACCGCCAATTGCGAGAGGTGCCTGCGCGACCTCGGCCATCATCCTCGTCATCCGTCTGCGTAGTAATGTAGGTCGCAGTGATATGATATCACATACACCTGGCGAGGAATTGCCGCCTTGCATCTGTTGCAGCTGCCCAGCGGCTGCCAAACACGCCGGGGTTAACTATTCCGCACCTCACGGGCGAATGATCGCGATGCCTCTTGTGGTGTTGCTTGAGAGCCTGCAGGGATGCGGCTGTACAGAACTTGTACGCATGTGTTGCGTCCTGTGTGGTGTGCAAAGCAGCGCTGATCGGTGACCCGCCTTCCAGGGCATGCTTGTGCACAAGGAAAATAGAGAACGTGCTTGAAGGATCGCAACGCTGGCAACAACCTGCAGCCTATACATTGCTACACAGGCGTCTTCTTGGATTTGGGCAGTGGCGCCGGCAAGAATTGCTTAGCGGCAGCGCTGCTCCATCCCTTCCAGAAGGCTTGTCAAGTCACACTCCCATTGGGCGAAGGGACGCGTCAGAATCTGGTGCTTGCTTACGCTGCCCAAATCACAGTTTTTGTTTGAGAGCTTGTAATGTTGCCATGTTGCTTCTTATGGCATTGAATGTTATGTACCTTGGAGATCATTGGCGTCGAGACACTGCAGAGCCTCAACGACATTGAGGCTGCAGCACAGGCGAAGTTTGCGGAGGCCACGCCACCCTGACTTCGAGAGCAGTGTTAGTATCAACGCTAGCGTGCGCCGCATCGGCCTGGCATGGTGCAGACGGTCGAAGGATGGGCGTAGTGGCCCGTGGCAGGGATGAGGTTTCGGTTTGCCCATGCGGGTTTTTGCCTTGGTGGGCCCGAAGTTGTTTGAGGGCCATTTTGCGTGCCGTGCCGCTGCCTGGGCACCTGAGTGCTGTAGGTGGAGCTTCCAGAGGGCATGACGAAGCCGGAGCTAAGCTTCCAGAAGGGCAGCAACCCCAGAGCACTTGTCTCGATGCTCTTGGCATTGGCATCCCACGTCGTGTCCAAAGACCTCGATACTGTACATGGATGTACCCAAGGTGACTTCGTAGCAGAGTTCGACTCAGTCTTGGAGACCATTGCCCCGGAGGTACCGGCAGACATGCACGTGCTTCTAGCGGAGCCACATGGACAGTTCTCCAAAATCGGCTCCCTTGGTAGGTCCCGAATACCCAATACTCGAGGAACCCAAAAAGGGATCGCAGTTAAGAGCACAGACCACATGAAAACCTACCTTGTACATTGCAAGCAGAAGACATGCTTGAGTGGACCGGGCTTGTGCAGTTCTCACACTGCTGGGGGCCGATTGTAGCTCCTGGCTCAATGTGCAGGTGACTTTTGCCGTGGTGGTTGCCACAACCTTCGGAGACCCAGAAATGCAAGCGGTGGCTAAACTGGCACAGAAAATGCCAGAAGGCACTCGAATTGCAGAGCTTCCGTTCCTGAGTTGAAGAGATGGCTCTCTGGATCAGATCGACACATGTCGACACCGCCTCCTAGCACATGAATCTCGACATGTAAACACATGCAAAAGCCCTGCCCTTTCGATAGCCCATATTCCCAACATTCGCCTAAGACTATGACAGGCGCCTCCCTCATCACAGTGACTCAAAAGCTGGAGGACTCGCTTGTTGTTGACGTGCAGGGCTCGGTTCGCAAGAGGCTCGACAATCTTCTTTAGCGGCTGGCATCTTTGATTGTTCTGCGCATCCTAGATTTCACACACCCATATACAGAACATATACATATATATATACACACATCTTATTGCATTTACAGATACCTTCTTTATGGCGGTCTCTCCCCTAAACTCTAAACCATAAACTGGGGTCTGCCACGGGCCCAAACCCCCCCAAAAACGGGCACTCTTCCTCCACACTCCTGGCATCTCCTGGCCATATCCATGTTAAGGCTATTCCTGACGAATCTCAATGTAAATTCACTCTGCGTTTCCCTTGTTTTCTTCCTCTAGACCAATATACGAAAGATGGGGCCGGACCTTGTTTTCATACATGAGCAAAGAGGTAAATTACGATTCCCGCCCCCTCACCACCCCACCCCCTGCAGAAATATTTTGTATTCACTTACAGAGAGCTGCTCCTGCAACAACCCTAAACCCCTAAACCCCTAACCCTAACCCCTAAACCCAAACCCTAAACCCTAAACCCTAAACCCTCAACCCTCAACCCTCAACCCTCAACCCTCAACCCTCAACCCTCAACCCTCAACCCTCAACCCTCAACCCTCAACCCTCAACCCTAAACCCTAAACCCCAAACCCCAAACCCCAAACCCCAAACCCCAAACCCTAAACCCTAAACCCTACACCACCTTCGCCTCAACTCTGCCTCCCCTACTTCTCAGGTGAACCGCGAGCCCCGGAAGCGCCGGGCCTTGGCTACGCGCAAAGCGCTGGCCCAGCGCGGCGTGGAGCCCAAAGGCACTGATAATATGATTAATATTTTTTTGATAATATGAAGAATATGAATAATATTGATAATAGTAAACTAATAATAATCGTAGTAATAATAATAATAGTAACAATATTGGGGTTCTGGAGGGGCGAAAGGCGATGTCTGCAGGGCGTGGATTTTGAGCTCAACATGTCGGTCAGGCATTGAGATTGAGCTCGAAGCTGCCGAAAATGATCCGAATGGTTGGAGGCATGTCTTTCTCCAGCTGCCCTTTGTTTCTGGTGAATGCCAAAGCGCGGTATGGTGCATCTACTTGTTTGTCGCTACGCGTGTTTGATTTCAAAGTGCAGGTTGAAGCACTCGGACTCATTGGAGCTGGAGTGGGGCACCACCTCTTGCCGAGCGCCTGAATTGACCCACGAGTAGTCGAGGTGTGTCATGCCTGCTTTACTGTGTGCAAGGCTGTGCTTAGGGGACTGCCTCGAGCACCAGCACCTGCTCTAGACATGTGGAAGATGTAGGACGATGCACATGCCTCGTCAATATCCCAAAAAGTTGGTAGCCGTTTGCTATGCAGGTGGCTGCCTTTGCGTGTTGTGACGCGAGCCTTCGCGCCGGATAGGGTTTAGCTTAGCTTTCTCGGCAAAACTACTGAACAAACGAGATCGCTAAGCTGGCCAAGAAGTGTGTACGCCATTTATGAACTTGGCTACATGGACATAATTCAACGTGAGGCCGGGAAGGTCTTGCAAACTGGCTCCACTTGCCTCTCAACCCAAAGTTGAAGCAGACAAGAAACTGTGCGTCCCTCTTGACCCAACCGAGTTAGAAGGACCCAGGCTCCCCAGTGAAGGCGGAGGGCTTGCAATGAAACTGCCAAGGCTATCTGTACAAGAAGTACACCTACCCTTTCTGCGATGTCCAGAACTGAGTCGCGTGAAGTTTATGCACGACAGATGCCCGCAGTGGTGGCTTGACTCGCGCCAGGCGGGGGACATTTGCATGGCCACACCACTTCCAGAAGCACAGGACATGCGCGAGTAGATTGAATGATTTGGAGTATTTTGCGAGGATTTGAAGAAGAAAATGCGTCTATGTCCTATGGCCGCACGCGGTAGACTCGGGTTCCTGAACCCCAGCTCGAATGCAACCTCTCAGCAGCTTCCTGCTGCCATCGTCAATATTCATTCTCACTTGCCTAGAGCATTGTGTACGTCTCAGCATGTCTCAGCAGTACTGGTGCTGTCGACGTATTGGATGGCCCCCCTGCCATCACCAGCCTCTCCGCTCGCCAGGCTCTCCGCTGCCCACCCCGAGCCGACCCTGCCGATACTGAGGGTGTTCGCCGAAGAAGAAACGAAGGGTAATGGTGCCATTCCCCTTGCAGGGCCCTTCGAGGCTCCAAGTGCATCGCCCATGACGTCTGGATGTTGCTGGCACGTCCAACCAAATCTCGAAGCAACTTCTAAAGCCGGCTCAAGCAGCCGAGGCATCAGGTCCAATCCTGAGAAATCCAGAGACCCCAGCCTGATGCGGATGCGGCATGTGTTCGCACGAGACCAGATTTGACATGCGTACTCGCATCACTCCTTGTGGGCGGACCAGCTCACTGAGTATGTTCATGCAACGTCGCAAGTCATGCCTTGCATGAAGAACGCACTGAGAACGCATGAGCAGATTCACTCTGAAAATGCCGCCTTGACTCATCAAACGGGGGTGGGTGGGTGGGAAGGCGCTTGCGGGTTACGCATGTTCTCCACCAAGTTTTTTGGATTCCTGCCCGATAACGCCCAGGGTCGACTGTCATATTCGTGTGTCTGTCATTCTATGTGTGTGTGTGTGTGTGACGAGCTGGGGAATTGAGGGATGTCCTCTTCGATGCTCATGCAGCCTTTTTGCAATGGAGTAGAAAGAGGGGGAGGAGGAAGAGGAGGAGGAGGAGGAGGAGGAGGAGGAGGAGGAGGAGGAGGAGGAGGAGGAGGGAGGAGGAGGAGGAGGAGGAGGAGGAGGAGGAGGAGGAGGAGGAACATGAACATGAGGAGGCGCCTGAGACCACATTTAACACTCACTGGGTGCCCCCAGAACAGGACATCATGGCGCTTAGCATCATGTCTTTCCCTAGTCACGCAGGCTAGCTCCTGGGGAGCTTGCGGGAGTTTCTTGGTTACAACCTTCTTGTTTTGGGACAAATATGTCAGGGATTTAAGGTGTCGTGGCAGGGTGTTTCTCGATAATGGAAGGACCCTGACATACGCTGCGGTTTGGCACACGCAACACAAGTGTTCTTGTACATGCGACATGTTACTTTTCTTGTGCCTGTGTGTGTGGAATGAAATTTCGATGATGCTTATATCAACCATTGCGCGACCCGTTGAGAAATGATCCCTTCTTGATAGCGCAGGACCAAACTGTCGCACCAGCTTACTTCGTCGGACCGACAACAGTGAGGACGGGAGTGGGGCAAGCATGACTTGGGGCTGTTTCAGAGTCTCGCGTTCATGTCCTGAGTGATAAGGTCGGCCCTGTATCGGAAGTGTAGGACCCGAAGTGCAAGATTAAATATCCTCGGCGCTGCAGTCGCAAAGGTATATGGATGACATGACGGAGGCGGAGGTGGAGGTTGGCAAGCTCTCGCCCTTCTGCGAGGCCTGCCGGCTGAGAGTCTGGAACTCTGTGCCACATTCCGGACCCTGCGGTGCCTGCAGGAGAGCAGAAAGAAGGCAGTGAAGCTGTACCTTCAGACTTTCGGCATAACAGCATAATGTCATTCGACATGTATAGCAAACCGAAGATTGAGCGGCCGAGGAAGCTTGAGGCGGAGAAAGCCAAGGCTGAGTGCCGAGCGGCAAGCGCCCAGCGAAAGTGTACAGGGGTGTCTTAGGTTGCGTGATGCAGCTAGAGGCAGCTAGAGTCGCTAGAGGGAGAACCAGGAAGTAGACACTTTGGGGCGCTGCTTACGTGCCTGGCGGCCTCACAGTGGCAGGCTGCTCAGGGCGACGAGCTTGTGGCCCAGGCGTTGGCAATGCTAAGGCGAGTGGCAAGGGATTGCAAATCACGAGCATCTGCACTTGCTAGACTCGACCCGAACTGGCAATAGGCCTTGCCATCACAGCAAATTCGCCGGCCGACTTCAAGCAGTATTTGTCCTGACTCAACGGGTACAAAAAAGGGTCCAGTCGTGCCAGGGAAGAGAAGGAGACCTTCGCAGACGGCAAGGTGCCCTACAAGCTAGAAGAGGCAGTGGGGAGCGTTCAGGAACACTTTGGAAGCTTGAGTACAGCATCCTAAAGTGAGCCCATCGCTGCACCAGGTGCGACGCATAGTTGATTGGCAGGATAAGAAATGTTCAATGTTGCTTGATGACATAATGTGCACTTGATCTTAAGTTGAGGCACAAGCACCTCATTCGCCTGCTTTGTTGCAACCCCATAAAAGGATTCAGCTCATGTTGCTTACCAGATGCGACTTGCGGCAGGAACGATCCTTTGCATCATTTGCCCGATTTAAGCTTCAGAAGCTATCAAATCCTGCTTCAGAAGCTATAAAAACCCGTGCAGATTCAGAAGCTAGCACGAAGCCGTCCAAAACAGATTGAGAATTGTTTTCTGACTCATGAGCTCGTGCGCGATCCCTTCGACAGGGATCTGACACGCTTGCAATGCTGTCAAATCTGAATCTTAGCTGCACTTGGAATCAATGACAGTCAAGCACACTTCAGCCAAAAGGTCTTGAAAGGTCTCAGTGGGTCTTGAAGGGCTGGAAAGAGCAACCGTGCTTTGCACGACGGTAAGGATGTCTGCGTATGGCCTGCCGGAAGATGAGAAGGCTGGTGGAAGCCGCATAACTGGTCGACGTGCGCAACGCCCTAGAGCTTCTAAAAGAGGTCAACACCTTCGTGGGCGAGCAGTGGGTCGCAGCCTGTGAGGAACTCGATCCTGAAGCAACAGGCTTGGGCCTCTCGACAGACATGCAGTATAGTTGGCAGATGTTGCCACGACATAACAACATCGGTCACAGGTTTAGCTGAACCTCTTGGCAGCACTGAATCTGGTGATGCAGGCACAATCGCCGAAGACCAGCTTGTGCTAGCGTGGCAGAAGGTGCCCTGGCTAGTGAAAGCAATACAGGTTTTGGGTCTAGGGTTTAGGGTTTAGGGGTAAGAGTTTAGGGTTTAGGGCTGAGGGGTCTTCCTCTGAAAAGTTCGTCACACAGTGAAAGCTGCGCTGCATGCTCCAGATGTTCACTCCAGGAGTTTGTCTGTGACTGTCAGAGTATTTCTTGCAGTTAGATTCAGGATTCAGGCAAGACATGGAAGCATGAGCCACGAAGCAAAGTGACCCAGGTGAAGGCCTCCTTGGTGAGAGTGGTCGAGGGCAAGAGGCTCAGGAATTTGAAAGGGCTGTACATGAAACAAGGTTTATATTACTATTCTTGGTGAGTGTATATAAGGTTCCTTTTAATACTAGATATAAGCCCTACTTCACATGATTTGTGTCTTGACGGCCAGCTTGGCACTCAGAGTCTTCCCTCCCAGAAGCCTTGCAAAGCGATTGGACATCCAAGGCAGACTGGAGGAGCTTCGCGGCTGACCTTCTTCGGGAGATTCCCGCTCCAAACCCAGATGAACTCAGAAGTGTGGGCCAGCACATTTCCCGTATCGCGACCACCCTGCTTTGACAGCCGCGTCGAGGATGTGTTGCGCAGCTGGCCTAATCAGGCTGAGTTGCAGTGTCACCGCAGCCAGTGGCCGTCCAACGGCAGACTGAACCGAAAGAGAGGTCCACCTAAGCCAACAGGCTCGATGTACTGTTGCCCATACAGTGTTGTTACTAAGGTATTCAAGCTTATAAGCAAGAAGTCTCACCGCCTGCAGCGAACAGGACAGGAATGACTAGATAATATCGAGTTTGGGAGCCTACGGCGACCAAGATACACTAACATACCTGCTAGTCCAGCCCATGCTGCGTGGAAAGCAGCTCCTGCCTGTTGAAGTTTCACTGTACTTTGGATGCTCGCAGGCTGTACAAACAAAGAGCTGCTACTGGACCCACAGCTTCGCCGTGCGTTTCATTGCGATTCCAGCGCAGGGGAACGCCTTGGTTCAGATGGGCTCCCAACTTCAGGGGGCAGCAGGATTGGCGCAGGCCCGTTCGGCCTGCATAGACTGCAAATAACCTTATGTGCGCTGACAAGATCCGGGCAAGTGGCTTATCCCGTTTGATAGGTTCCAAGTGCAATGATGGCAATGCCGCAAGTTGCGTGTCTGCTCACCACAGTGATTGCATCCCCTTAAATCTGCAGGAGAGCAATGCGTCAGCATTGGTGCCGCTGGTGGAGGTGCTCTTGGTGGAGCGGCAGGGGGGTGACCAATGTTGCAACCCTTTTAGCAGCAAGTGGAGTTGTGACTGAAGGTCTGCCTGTGAGCCTCGACCCTCCTAACCTTAAGCAGCTACCCTGTGCCGCTTTTCCAAGGCTCCTTTCAGCCTGCATGGCGCGCTGCAGAACCCCTGAAGAAGCCCCAGGAGCCTCCAACACCTACCCCTAAGGGCCCAAGCGAGTCCTGCGGAGACTCTGCCTAGCCATATCATTTCCTGGAGGCTCCCTTCGGGGTCCTGGGCCAACATGGATTCCACAAGCCAGAACATACCGGGTGTGGGGGGTGGGGTGCGGGCTCAGTGCGGACGGCGGTCGAACAAATGTATCGTGGCAGTCCAGTTCCTCGATTCGCTGACATGGGGGGTATGGGGACATCGGCATTCTTTTTCACTGGCCTTTACCACCTACCAGGTGCCCTTGGGCGCCAACTCTGAAGTGGCTGATCTTGTGACACTCGGCACCTCTGCGTGGAGCTTACGCGGCTTCTCGCTGCTTACATGCTTCCTGACCAATGGTGGCTGCGCAGACGGTTTCCCAAACCAAGCTTCCAGTCTCAACTCGCTACCAGCAGCACCTCAATCATATTCATGCACGAAGCCTTTTGCTTCCGTGCGCGTGCTTAGGCAATAGCACTGCAGAATGATGGGACGCTCCTTTGCTCAGATTAGGTTCGATTGTTTGTGAGGTGTTGGTTGATGGAGCTTTAGGGTGCAGGGCTTGAAGTTTGCGGCTCAGAGTTCGGACGGTTTAGGTTTCGGAGTTTACGTTTAGCAGGGTTTAAAGTTTCCTTGCTTGCGGTTTGTCAAGGGGAGGGGTTGGGAGGGGAGGGTTGGGAGGGGAGGGGTTAGGAGCGGAGGGGTTGGGAGGGGATGGGGTCGGGTTGGCGAACAGCGAGCTTTCGCGGGGTCGCATACTACATGAATTCACATTTGCGACATGCTCAGTTGAGCCGCAGGACCTGAAAAGGATGGGTTTCAGAACAACCATTGCGAAGTAGGGCACCCTATTCTTTGGTTGCAGCTGGTGCCAAGCCAAGCTTCAGATGGGAGTTTAGGGTTTAGGGGTTTAGGGTTTAGGGTTGGCGGTTTAGGGTTTAGGGTTTAGGGTTTTATGGGACTTCAATCAATGCTTTGATGAAACCGAGACTGATGGTTGCGGGGAGCTGCAGTGTTGGCAGCGTTGTGCTGCGCTCTTCAGGCTGCTAGTCCATGATCTTTCCAAAGACTATGCAGAAACGCTTCTTGGCAGATCAGTTCAGTTTGCATGTCTTTTGGCGGCTTGAGCTGCTCAGAAGGTGTATTGCACGGGCGTTTCGCTCTGGCAGGTTCAGGCTACACCTACCTGCAGCTCGTGGTGCCAGGCAACCGACAAAAGGTTCACACTACAGCTTTGGGCAAGGACTGTACAACAATGTGCCTCTTTGCAGACAGGGCATACTGTGCCAGCCGCTGTAGCTGCGTGTGCCATCAATGCCGCTCAATCCGCAGAGTCGAAGCTCCGTGTGCAGGTGGCTCGGCCTTTGTTCGGCTGGAGGACGAGATCTGCTACTGGTGGCCCTGGGAACGGGAAGAGGGACCGAGAGGGACCGAGAGGGACCGAGAGGGACCGAGAGGGACCGAGAGGGACCGAGAGGGACCGAGAGGGACCGAGAGGGACCGAGAGGGACCGAGAGGGACCGAGAGGTGAGTGCCAACAATGGGCCCAGACGCTCTGTTGAGGTGGGAAAGGCACATCGGAACAGCGAGCTTGCAATTTGGAGGAGACTTTGAAGTGATGGGACCTCTCACTGTTGGGATTTCAATATGGCTGACCCATGTCGTGGAAGGATGAGCGTGCCGCTGTGGATGTGAGATGCTGCGCAGCATAGTCCCATCCACTGAAGGGCAGCAGCAATGCTGCCACCACGCCCAAAAGACATTTCAGCACTTGCGAATGCAATGCGCGCCTGTCTCAGGCGAGTAGTCCGTGATCAAAGGCTTGCTCTGCAGCCGACAATGCCCAGCAGCGTGTACATAGAAGGTTGCGCTGGTGTGGCCATTGTATGTTAATCACTTACTGCGTATTGGAGAAACAGGATCGGAGTAGACTCAGTGCTGCTAATACCTGCAACTGATTTGCTGCATATTGCTGCAGCAGTCCATGAGCAGCTATTAGCAGTGTTTAAATGGCGTATTGCTGCGGGATGGCGCTGCTCACTTCAAGATCTGGTTCGAGCCATCTAGTAGCATCTAGCATGCCGTGCTTGCGCTCTGCACTATCGACATTCCGACACTACGTGTCAATTAGCCTAAACCGTAAACCCTATACCCTAAACCCTAAACCCTAAACCCTAAACCCCCAAACCCTAGCGATCCAATACGCTCAATACGCGTTCAGAAGAGTACCTCACCGAAGTGTCAAATGTAGCGAACAGCCGGGCCTGAGGGCCGTCACCTCTGCACCATGGCTCCTTCGCGAGGCGATGAGATGTGCGAGGGATGCTGTCAACATGAACCCTAAACCCTAAACCCGAAACCCTAAACCCTAAACCCTAAACCCCAAACCCCAAACCCTAAACCATGCATGAGTTGCCTGGATGGCATCACTTTGGTGTAGATTCATTGACACATGCCATTTTCTGGCTCGCAGCAGCATTTTGCGTCCGGCAGCAGTCTTCCCAAGAAGCCGTCATCGCAAGGCTCTGAGTCGCGCGTATTCTCTTGGTCGCAGTTGCTCATCCCGGTTGCGGAGTCGAGGGGGCAGCCTGCGTGGCACAGGCAGAACGTTTACTCTATATATCCCTCTTGGGAATAATGCTGTATTTTTGTTTAAATTAACCCCAAAAGGATATTAAGAATATTGTTCTTTATTAAGGTTTCAAGGGGAGCATAGTACTTAATATGACCAACATGGTTGCAGGCAGGGGGCTCCGCAATTAGAAGCCTGCGGACTGACCTGTGCGGCCAGAGTATGAGCTGGTATGTTTTTTCTCAACCGGCTGGCCTGGAGGGATTGTGCATTCACGGGAGTTCAGCATTTGTCCCTTGCATGTTTTGTCACCACAAAAGAAAGTAAGTGTCAAAACTCATCGGTCCACATTGTACTGTACCATGCTTTGCAACGTATGGCGATGCTGCTTTGCAACGTACGGCGATGCAATGGGAGAGATCAACAGTTCGAACTTTCAAAAAGTCGGCCACTGGAACCCCTTCAAATGTGGCAATTGTTAAGACATGTTCACATGTTGTTAAGTCATGGTCAAGTGTTGTTAAGGATGCTCTTCGACTTGAGACGAGCCATTTCTGTCAGTTCGAACAGTGGAACAAGCGAACTGTTCACACTTCAGGTTCCGCTAGATATCTTTGCAACGAAGTCGAGAACCGCAAGCAATAAGTCGCAAAATGCGAGTTTCAAGTTTTCGTTTTGTGAACATTCACAATTCACCCGTTGACTACGCGACACACGAAAACTTCACCACAGGATACATCAGGATGCCAGCACATGCGACATGTTGAAGTGCATGTGTTGATGAAACCTCACCACAGGATAGCTAGCATATCTGAAAGGTTGAAGTGTATGCGTTTACGCCCGTGAGCGTGCCTTTGACACTGCAGAGCCATGCATTCCATACGGTCCTGAACAACAACGATGCCAAAGGCTCTGTTTTTAGTGACGTCTGACTCCTGCAGTCTATGACGCGGCAGAAGCCGGAATTCCTACACGATCTGCGTTTTGACACTCCGATCTCAGCAAGTTGACACGTCCATCCTGCTTCCAAGGTCTGAAAGATGCTGAGCCGCTGCGCCCTCCCCGCGCTGAGCCCCTGACTTAGAGCTCCTAGCCGCGTTCGCTTTTCCGAAACTCCTCGGACTCCTCGGAGCCTGTCGAGGCCGGCAGGCGCCGCGGCTACGACGCTTGTTGCCGAGCCTCTTCCAAGCCCGACACTTTGCTCGTCCAGTATGCCTGTCCGACCGCGAGACGAGGCACGGGGTGTGCATCGGATCGAGCAAGCTGTTGCCCGGTCTCAGGCAATGAGTCTAATTAGATCCTTCCTAGGTTTCCCCCGACAGCTATGCTGTAGGTGCTAGGCACTCTGCCGATATTTCAGCTGCTGTTGAACTGGCAAGGGAGCTGAAAGTTCGGGGACAATCCGTCCCAGTCAGCAAGGAGTACTGGGAATCTTGGCGGAACAATGATGCTAAGTCGCCCGAAAGCGGACTGACACAAGCGACAGCTGAGGAATCCCCACTCTGACCGTTCACCGTCTCGATGGAAACCGTGTCGCCTCGCACCATGTCACCACGCCGCTACAAAGCCCCAGAAATCATGACACACTTTGTATTTGTGACGACAAAATGACATGCAACAACAACAGCAGGAAGAGCAGGAGCACGAACACTAACAATAACAACAGCAACAACAGCAAGAACAAGAGCAAGAACGCGAGCAATAACAAGGACGACAACACAGTGACAGCTTGTGAGACATGAAGGCCCCGCCACTTTCGCTGCTGTAGCCCACCGTTTACATACAAATGAATACATAAATAAATATAGATAAAAAAATATATATATATATATATGTGTGCAGTGCTGGAGGAACTGTGTGTAGCGAACCCAGTCGGCAAGCTCGATCTTTCACCGCCGCAGCATGGCATGCTATATCTTTGCATTCGGGCATCCTTCTGTGTTACGAGTTTCCGCGGGCCTGTGCAGAGATGTGGCCGCTGAAACCAGGAAAGCACAGGCATACAATGCCATACGCAGGGCCTGGTGCCATGGCACACAGGGCATCCATGACATAAAGGTGTGGGCTGTCTAATGATTCCGGTGGCGCAACCACTCGTCCTAAAGACGTTTCCCTCCCCGAACGCGGGGGTGATACAGCATATGGCTGACATACGACCATGTGCGGCCAAGAACGCCTCAAGAAGGGAGCAGCGTCGAATTTGCATCAAAAGCTCTCAGATTGAGTCTGTGCCTTAACACTGCAAGCAGACCGCACTCGGTCCTATTTTCTAAATTCCGAAGAGATTCACGACCTCTCCGGCCATGTGCACCGCACGGCTCCACATAGGTCCCCAACTTGACACTTCCCACATGGTCTTCTAGCGTTTCTTTCATCACACTCGCCATGCCGCACCGTTACACCGCACTAGTTGCTTTGATTTGCTTTGTGCCACCTTGCAGCCGCTCAGCATCGGTCAGCTTTTTTTGGCCAGTGTCAACTTTTAAGGACTATGTCGCGGATGAGCAATCGGTGAATGATGCAGAGATCTACAGGAGCTCAGCTCTGGGAATTCCTTGGTGGTCAGAGTCACCCTGGCATCATGTGGCCCCCTTAGCGCCAGGAATAACACAGAGAACTATGTCGGCACCGTCAAGTATCCCATCGGCGTCATTGGTCCACTCAAGGCTTGCTTATCGCCTCGAACATATCGAGTTCACTTCGAATTTGTCGAACTAGTCTTCGCGCATATTGCACGCAGGATTGTTGGAAGTAGAGTGAGACAAAACCTGACAAAAAGTTTATGGCAAGGACGAGTCCCAGCATGTCAAAGAGATGTTCCAGAAAGACAGGTCAATGGGGAGTACGCTACGAAGGAGTACGTGGTGCCCATGGCGACTCATGAAGGCAAAGCCGCGAGAGCGTGCAGAAACGCGTAGACGGGGCAAAGCAAGATATGTGTGTGTATATACATATATACATCCATTTGTTTATTTCTCTATATATATATATACACTATACATACATACATACTACGTCATTGCTCTGTCGGTGTGCAGTAACGCTTTCTCTCTATGTTGGTACTTCTCCTGCCTGAGAGAGGCGCCTTGCTTGCCTCGTACAGTCGAGGGGCCAAGGCAGGATTAGCATTGCCACAGTGACTTCCAATGCTTGCCAATGAGCCCTTTCCTAGACAGCCTGCCAACGACCGATGTTGAATGTTGCACAGATTTGCACAGCATGTGCAACTAAGCACTGGGCATGAGGGTTGGGGGGCATGCAGCGCAAGCGCAACCCACGTGCAGCTCCGAGCCTGACCTTTGCAAGCAGATTCAGCCCTGTCAAATACAGTGTGGAAGCCTCTTATTTCCAGTTCAAATACAGGTTGCACATACCAAACTCCCTGAACTGTGAGCATGACATATCCTTTCACATATTCAGTCATTCATCCATCCATCCATTCATTCATGAATTCACTCATTCATTCATTTGATGCCACTCCGAACATTCCCCTTCATTGCATAGACGGGGCGACAAGATTCCGAAACAAGCTGTGGCTAGCCTTGAACTTTCCATGTCATCGTGGACTGTGCCGCACCAGTATTATCGGCAGTGGGTGCCTCTGTGAGAACTTCCAGAGGTGCGGATTCTGCGACTGCTACAAATTGACAGGCAATCACAGCCGGCGGCGGCGTGACGACACGGATCAAGACGCGGTGCATGCTACGCGCACCAGCTTCTTGGCAGGAACCCTGCCCTCGTGGGTCCGAAATCATCCCTTCCCGTTTACTTCTGTCAAGGTCCTGGCAACACATGTTTTGGGTGTAGGGTTTTAGGGTTTCGGGTTTAGGGTTTAGGATGATTCATGATTCATGCAGTGTGCAGCATCGTGCCGCAACCCAGCGCTTTCCGGCCTTTTACGGCTGACCATGGGCTGTTGTTGAGGTCTTCATCTTTCCCAACATCGCCGACGCAAATGAGTTCTACCGATGGGCCCACAAGGAGGACATCCAGGCGCAGGGTTGGGCCCACACTTTGCAGTTTGGGCGGGGGTGGCATGCCCTGGGAAGCCCCTCTCTGACCTTGCTCTGACGGCCCCCAAGCAGCAAAGCGGAGTGACCACAAATGAGACAGTCGGGAGAAGGTAAGCTTAATCAGAGGGTGGTCAAGTCGGCTGTACATGGCTGCACAGCCAGGATCGTATCAAGGACTGCTTGCACAAGAACATCGGACACCTCACCGAAGAGCGAACTCGGTTAAGGCCGGCATGTCACTGTCACCAAAAGCTGAGACGCTGTTTGTAACACCAATATGTTTGGAGGCTTAGAGACGACGTGCGCGGATTTCACCACAAGCTGACTGTTACATTGATTAGTCACCCACCGCGCATGCGTTCCTTCTATAGTCCCGCACATGCAGGCACCCCTTGTCCACAGATGTGTCTGGCTTGCGTGGAGTTCCGATCCCCTGAACCCAGCAAAGTTCCTCAAGTCAATCGAATGGGTCCCTGTGAACTTGCTGCTTTGCTGCTGCTGGGCGCGCAGGGTGTTCCAGACTGACCGGAAAGTGCACATCTCAGTCGGCATTGATTCCCAGGATGCTGCTGGACAAAACAAGGCGTCGCCTGCATCTCCGCGAGTAGATAGTCGACACAAGCCGGCAATCTCGTTCAAGACAGTTCCACGGCAAATTAGCTCCCGGGCTGCCTGGCAGGTGACTTACGCTGGTGATCTGATGATGAAATTCTGCAAGGACGAGGGATTCTGATAGTTTGGCACGGGGAGCCTTGAGAATTGGAGCTGAGGTGGGTTCATGGTCAAGACAAGGGGACCAAATCGGGCTGCTCAGGCAGTTCGTAATGTTCGCAGTCTAGCTTCGCCTGGCCCCCCTGTCAGCTCCTGGTCTGACAGAAGTGACAGAAGCCCCGCAAATTAAGTGTTGCCCAAGGCTGCTCTGCTGGTGTCCGTAGTCTGTCTCAGCGAGCTACATCGACGTAAATCAGGTTGACGAGTAGAAAAGCTCACCTTGTGGTTCTGAGGTTAGACTTGGCCAGGGAAGAGCCAGAACAGCACGCAGCAAGCTGAAGAAGTGTCCAACCACTGAATACCGCGGACAGGAGCATTATCCCGGGGAGATCCCCGAGATGTACATTGAAGGCTCCTTGCTAGCATCGTCAGACCGGCATTGGTGAAGCGCAGACCTGCCTGGCTGAGCTGTGCAACTCTCAGAGTTACATCTCTGGCTGTGATGGCTGCGCAGGTGGCTTCAATGCGGGGAAGTTGCTCGACTACAAGCAGCCTCATCCATAAACTGTTGAACAGGGGGGTCAAGAGTGAACTGCAACATCTTCAGGTACACAGCCAGCAATGACAGTAAAGTGCCTGCATAGTATGAGAATGCACTTGCACGAGCTGGGCATGGACAGCAGCAGCGGGGGTCCGTAGGCCCCAAGCCAAAGTTATGCAATGCCCTGCCGCCCCAGGAATGTAAATCGAGGGGGCTCGATTTGCATTACCAACCCTCTATTACCTTCCGCGTAGCCTCTCCCTACCACCCAAGTAATCTCGACGGAGTCTAGACCATCTCGCATGCTCTGGTGGGAAGTCTGCAAGAGTAGTAGATTGCTCAGCTGTGCATGTGCTTGGAAACTTGAACCATCCGAAACCCTCCTTGCTTTTTCATAACGTAATACGGTAGGCCTCCTCCAGCGCAGGGGTATGCCCACACTTGTTCTTGTGGTGATCAGGCGCGTCTCAGTCATGCACACGCTCCTTGGCAAGGGCCACTCTCTGGTGGCGGATTGCGTTATTCCAAAGGACGGGGCAGCACTAGGGTGAAAGTATTCATCACCTGAAGCCCAGGACGTAGAGCTTTCTGCCCCATGAAGCGGTTGCCCTCACGTGCGCCTCACGACGGTGCAATGCACGTATTCTGTTAAGCACAGTCGCAGGCGTGCGAGGCGCTTAAGCGAGGTGGAGGCGGGACAAAAGCAACAAACGAGAGCAACACAAACATACGTCAAGAAACCGTCGTAGAACACGAGCCGCAAGCATCAACCACGACTCGTGAGCACTTGGGCATAACAGTCAGAGGTGCAATTCGGAACTGCACTGTCTTTCCATGTCGACACAGGGCGAGGACATTACCCCCAGAGCTAAGTCTGCCCGATGGCTCCGAGCTGCAGGGCGACGAGTAAGACTAGTGCCCAAGCCTGCAAGGAAGCCAGGACACAGTTCGCCTGGGATGGTTCCGAAAGTACTCTCCGTATGTGTCGCCTGCATGGGCCCAGCCAAGTGGGAAAGTTCGCACACGTGTGATCACGTAGCTCGTGTATCATAGATGAAACACACTGGCGAGACCTGACGCATGCCCTTGACTAAACTCTGTGCAGCCCATGCCCCTGGTTGTTCATCCTGTGCTCGGGTTCCGGGCAGGGAATCCAGCAGGTCTAGGCCTGAGACGCCCATCCCTATGTTTATTGTTATGATTATGATGATGATGATGATGATGATGATGATGATGATGATGATTATGACTATTATTATTATTATTAGTACGATTATTGTTATTACTAGTGGTGGCGCTTGTATTATTATTATCATTATTGTTCTTATTACTATTATGATCATTATGATTTTTTATTACTATGATGATGATGATGATGATGATTATGATTATCATTATTGTTAGAGTTTGGACATGTTTCGAGTGACTGCGCAGATGGCCACATGCTCGCTTGCAAGGGTTGGACAGTACGACACGCATTAGTTTGACAAAAGCAGACCTCAAATCGACCTCCAATTCCAGGGAGCCAGGCCATCGGGCACCTTCCGTTAAAAGCTGCAACAGATCCTGCCCATCTATCTCCCACCACTCACCGGCCCATCTCCAACTAAATGAGGGCTGCTTTACGAAACACGGCTTCGGCCCCCTGAATGTTTTCCCTTGTTTTCCATTTTCATTCCGCCTTCCCCCCTGCTTCCATTGAAAATTCAGTGCCTGCTCGTGCCGGAAGTCGGGAACAGAACCACGGATGCTCCGGGCTTTTCCACTTCAAGCCGAAGTAGATGCTTCGTTTCTGTGGGTGCAACCTTGAAGGGGGTGGACGAACCTGACATGTCGTACTGCAGGAAGTTTGCCAAAAGATCTTGCGGACTACTCCTTACAGGTGCGATTTGAGGGATGTCATCGCTGCCCAGTAGCCCAAACATATGCACATGTGCATACAGGCATATAATGGCATATATATATATATATATATCCATCCACCTTGTATGTATGTATAGAAACACATACATGGAATAAAACTATATGTGTATAGAGGGGGGATACCCGGTTACCTATATTTATTTTCTACATTACAGTATAGAGTGCTTGTCAGGATGGATGGTGCATCTGCTCACTAGCCCTCCTAAGTGTGTTTTGTAAGCCCGGCAAGCCCATATTCCGCGTAGCACCAATCAACACTTCGGCAGCCTCCCTTGCTGGCTGCTGCGAAAAAAGCGCAGGCTGCAGAGATTTCAAAAGATGCACAACAGAACCAACGAGTTCATGGGCGGTATCAGCTGACTCTTGGCTGCATGACCGGCGGGCCCCCGTTGCCTGGTGACATCTGGTGTGAAGGCTGTTCTCTGCTACTTCGCATAGCCGGAAGGCACCGCCCACGTGGCCAACGGCTTGGCAGCGTTTTACATTGCTACGGGCAATGACCCAGCTTGCACAGCCACGTGGATGCAAGAGACCTCTAAGGTCCAAGATGCACGAAACTTTAGCCCGACATCGCCAGATGCAACTCCGAGCATGCACTCAGACCTGCACCTGTTTCTGATGACCTACAACACCCCCAACATCCTGTGCAATCAGTACTCTTTCTCTACTTCTGAGGTTTTTTGCATGACATGCTTGGCTTGCCCCAAGATATCTGCATGCAGTAGAGTCAGTAGAGTTGCTGTGGGTCTGAGCTCAGGCTGAGTCTCAGGCTGCTGTGACCCACTTTGATCTTGTCAATCCTTCCGGAGGCAGCTGCTGAATCGTTACTCCGCACTGTTTCAGTCCGAGGTCCCCCAAAAGCAGAGGTTAATTCTGGAAATCCTTGCTTGCAGGATCCGGCAATCACGAAGACCAGGATCTGTATGCCAGTATCACGCTGAATTCCATCATTGCTGCTTGCACGCATCCAGCTACAGACAACTGAGATATGGTCTTTCCTTGATTCCTTGATGAGCCGAGGTCGCAAATGTTGGAGGCGGAACTAGTCTGCCATCCTTCAAGGTGGCATGCGCCTACGCGCGCGCAGCATCGTGTAGCCTTGCACGTAGCCTATCTTGATGCTGGAAGAATGCACATGCAAGGCTGCCCGGTCCATGATGGGCGTGCAAAGTGCCAACGAGCTTGCGGAGATCTGTGCAGGCGCAGCAAAAGAGGTAGCACACAAAACGAAAACAGGAACTCGTTTGGTCCATTCATTATGTGCTGTATTTTCCTGCACTAGCTACATTGCGCATGAACACGTTTCACTTCTGTAACCCCGTGAGTTTCATCGAACTCGAAGAGGCTGCAGACTGTGTAAAATCCATTGACCAGGCGTTGCCCTCTCCGGCGAGCTCAGCTTTTACGCCTCCATGGAAACAGGCCATGTGGGATATCAATATTGCTACGGCAGCTGTTTGGACCCGCAGAACATGCTGTTTGAGGCTCCTTCGCAGACGCGCACTGGAACATGACGCACAAGGGGTGAGGACAGGATGTCCACCTGGATCAAGTTTCATCATGTAGCCACTGTAGTCACATGTAGACCCGCTGAGTCGTTGCTCAGAGCACGCCTTCTAATGCTGCACTACGTAGCAGACGTATCAATCGCCGACGATCTTATACCTTAGCACGAGTGGGCCAGTCGAGGGCCAATCAGATGCATCGAAGACGCAGCATCTCTTGATTCATGCCTGATTATGCTGAAAGTACTCTCTTTCTGGCAGAAAAGGCAGCACAAAGTAATTTTGGAGTGCATCTCGGCAAGATCGGCCAATGTGGCTTGGCCAGAAAATTCAGGCACTGACTCGACGTCATCCTGGCTCGATACAATATGGTACAAGTCACAAGTTGTATGGAAGCCGAGCTGCACGCCCAGACAAGAGCCAAGAGTGCACAAGGGAGTGCGCGAGATGGCTTTTCTCATTCGCCTGCAAAGCTCTGTGAACTTGTTGCGGCTTTGCCCTCGGACTACAGTAGGGTAGCCTGACGTAGCACCTCTAACGCGCCGAGCGCAGCAGGGCGTGAACAAGGCAGGGGCATGCAGCTGAATGACGCTGTATAGACTACAGTCTCCGGATTTCTGTTTCGTCCTCCAAAGGAAAGTCGAGCAACGATTGTGACTCGGACTAAGCTTTGGAGGATCTGGCGTAGCAGCCATCTACTAACCAGCTGACCAGCTTGTAGATTGAATAACAGATGAGAAGGAAGGGACTGTGTTCACAACTAGTTGCTGCAGAGAGAAGTCATGAAAAGTGTCGCTGCGACGCAGCATTGCACTTGCTTGGCTTCCTGGCTTCCAACTCGTTTCACTTATGCAATTGTTGTGGTCTGTTATGGAATAACTGAAAACATGTAGCTAGATAATCGGATGATAGGTATGTGTAAGTATCACCATAGTAACACCAAAAGTAGAATTCGAGATATAAATATGTATAGATGACAATCGCTCACCATCATTGAATCACTTTCGCACGTCCAGGGCCTTGCACGTTGGAGTGGCGGAGCATGCGGAGCCGGGCGGAGCCGAAACCGCAGAACCGGGTGCCTCGAGCGGCGATCGGCCCTCAGACGTGGCGCCGCACGTTTAGGGTTTAGGGTTTAGGGTTTCGGGTTTAGGGTTTAGGGTTTCGGGCTGCTCTCTCGGAATCTCCTCTCAGGCTTTGCATGCTGGGGGTTCCACGGTTCTTCGATGACACAGCGCAGTTGCTGAGGCAGGGCACGCACTCCGACTTGCAAAAAGCCGTGGTATTTACAAGTTTCAAGTGCTTCAACATGTATTTCACTTAGGCTTTCGAGGCTTCAGGACATGTCTGATTTACTAGAGGGCCAAGGACTGCGAAAGCACGAGCACGTCCCAAGCACGTCCTACGGACCGCAGCAAGTGTCCGACGTTCTTCAGAGACCTGATGCAGGCGAAATCTCCTCGAACGTATCGGCCGGTCTCGGGCTCGAACTCCTCGAGCTGTGTCGAGGTTCTAGCTGGTTTCAAGCTTTACTGAGCTTGGCCGCACCTGTAAGGGATTGCTGCTTGTGTACAGATATTGCTGGCTGTGATGTCATCAGGCTGCAGTTTCAGACTTAAAGCTCTCTGCACCAATTTTGCACTTGAGCATCTTAAACATCATCAGACGCATCGGTGGGGTTGTCCCTGCGGAAGTGCTGGGGTGGTTGTCTTGATTCTGCCAGTGCCGCTAAGTGCATTCGTGCCCAGATTTAGCTTGATTACGCAAGCCTGTGTGTGGCAGCCCTGAGCCTCATTATAGACAGCTTCCAGGCCGACCGACCTCTTCGCATTCGTGACTGCCTCACGGAGGCCGGCAGCGCCCGACTGCCAGCCCCATAGTTGACTCCGTCTTCTTCTTGTGGCATGCGAATTTGCAATGTCTGGTGTGTCGAGCGGGCAGCCACCCTTGTCCGAGGCCCCCAACCACACCGCCTGGTTGAAACATTGCCTGGTGACGGCAGCTACCCCAGCGCAAGACAGCAGACCCCTAAGGATCCTTTTCGGTTGTGTGCTTCTCTGTTTTGCGGCATTTCACCGGCGATCGCTCCGATGCTCTCCAGGTCATCTTGGTGACGAGCTAAGACGTGTAGCGCCGTCCGGCCAGGCTTCCATGCTCCACTGGCTCGGGCGATGTCGTTTGAACCTGTTTGAATTGTACCATGAGATCAAATGAAAGGGGGACTTCGAGCCTGGTCGCTTTGCTGGTGATGGAGCTTCGTTGTCCGGGCCTTGGCCTGGAAAGCTTCGATCATCCCCACCTGTCCGAAATCAATTACAGATACTTCGCTCTCCGCGGAATTCTCTGAGCTTGGACACTCTTGTGGGCTTCTCTGGGATACTGGTGGGATCCTCTACAGGTTTCTCTGGGGGGTACGCTCCAGGATACTTGGCGGGCTTCTCGGGGAGTCTCTGAAGCTTGTCTACAAATTAATCGGGCTTCTATGTCAAGAATACTCGGCGGGATTCTCTGCGGGCTTCTATGTGGGCTTCTCTTGGGACTCCAGGGATACTCGGCAGGATTATCTGGGGTGGGCACTGCAAGGATACTCGGCGTGACTTTCCTCCATGGATTCTCAGCGGGGATGCGAGGAGCAGGTTTGACGTAAAATCTAACATCCCCACTGAGGGTGGGTCAGAAGGCTTGAGTTCAGATTTTACAATCTTAGTTTGAGGCTGACACCTTTGGAATGGGCATCGCTGGAGGTGTTTCTGCAGAAGGCTGTCGCGGGACAGGCGAGCAACCTGATTCCAGTACTGCAACTTGTGTGGAGTAGAAAAAGAGGGGTCATGAGAGGCCACTGCGGGGCTCTAACATCTCTATGAAGTGGGTTGCCACCCCCTGGGGCATGGACCACCCTCTGGAGATTAGAAGTAGCGACTTTGGCAGGGCAACCCTTGTCTCTTCACGTTTACACGTGTCGTCAGCGGTCAAGGGCGCACACACACACACACACCACTGGTAACGAAAGGCCGACGGCCCCCGGGAAGAGAGAGAGAGAGAGAGACACACATCGGTTTGGCCGGCTGTACCCAAAGGCCTCTAGAAAACTCTTAGCAGAAGCAGAGGAGTAATGAGAAGAACAAGAAGATGCGAGAGAAACGAACACGACATGTTGTTGCAAATTGTTGTAGCAAGCATGCTGTGTGAGAGCTGTGCTCTTCGTCACTGAGTCAGGGAGTTGCCGGTGCAATGTTCTGTGAGTCTGTGAGGTGGCTTGGGGAGACCGACCTGTGGAATTGCTGAGTCAGGCCGAAGTCATAAACAATAAGCTGTTGAGCTGTCTCGAGTTGTACCAGTTAGTTTGGCAGCATCCGGCGGCTGCTTGGCGCCGCGTTGCCGCCCGACCTGGACCATGGTTGGGCGGGCTGGCGAAGAGGCGGGGGACCCTGCCGTCCCTAAACCCTGCCGTCCCTAAACCCTAAACCCTAAACCCTAAACCCTAAACCCTAAACCCTAAACCCTAAACCCTAAACCCTAAACCCTAAACCCTAAACCCTAAACCCTAAACCCTAAACCTAAACCCTAAACCCTAAACCCCGTGTGTCGTTCAAGATACGGGGTTGGTCCAGCAAGGCTGGGAACCTCAAGTCAAAGGCACTCAGAAGGTTCCGGAAAACGGTTTTTGAGGCTTCCGTGTGATCGCGAAAGAGCATCATAGGGTTTAGGGTTTAGGGTTTGGGGTTTGGGGTTTAGGGTTTAGGGTTTAGGTTTTACTCAGGATCCTTGCCACCAAGCATCGATTTAGGGATGACGTGTCGGGCGGCGTCCAGCGAAGATTTGACTTGACGATTTTGTGGAAGGATGGCAGTTAAAAGGGCTTGGATGACTCTGACTTGGTCTGTTGTACTTACACTCACACACTCCGGCCTCAAAAAGAATGAGTGTCATGCCACCACGCCAACAATGAAAGTTGCATGGCAAGGTCTGATGTCGGCCATGACGACATCACAGGTTCTTCGCCCACGTTGTCAGCATCCTAGCTAAACGAAGTGCATCGACAGATTCGCTGTGCTGCCGACGCACGTCACACTTGGCCTTTTGATAGCTCACAAAGGAAAGAAGAAGATTCCATGAAAACGAACATTTCCGGCATCCGCTTCACGGACGGCAGCTCTGGCAGCGCTGTCGCAATTTTCACGCCACGGGGCACATCCTAAAGTCCTTCAAAGCATGTTCAAGCTCTGAAAATTTTCTGTAAATGACCAGCACTTGAGGGCACCACGTGCGGCCGAGCGCCGGACTGTCCCAGCTCCGTACCATGCAGCCTGGGCCTTGGGCTTCAGGCGCACTTTCGTCGCTCCACGAGCTATGTATACATTAGAATCAGTACAACTTAAGGAATGAAAGCCAGAGTCAGGCCTACGTATGCATCTGAGAAGTGGGATTGGCGCTACGACTTCGCAAAGTCTAAAGTGGATATGGCAACGATTCCATTCTCATGTGGTTGATTGTTGCTTGCACGTGCACTAGATGAGGACCTTAGCAATCACGAGCGCCGAGCAGTTGCGACGAAACTTGAAGAATTGATCCAGGAAGTGATGCTGGGAACGCTTGAGAAAGTGCTGCCACGACCCGCCGAGAGGTGGTGTGCGGACGCGGTAAGATGGCATGAGGAGAACATCCTCAACACTTCGTGCCGATCCTTGGTGTCAAGCGAATGCTCATGCGGATTGTGGGTCGATTGCACACTGTCTGCCCACCACTAGCAGGTACTCGCATGTCCTGTTTGCACGCTGGGATCTGCAGTGGCTGATTCCATTTCCTGGGCTTGAGCTGCTGCAGGCTCCTTTAAGAAACCATCAGACATGCGCTTTGCACATCGTGAGCTCAGAGCAGCTTGTCTAGCTGTCAGGACATCAATTCTGAGGAGATATGGCTGCAACAGGTGCGACGATTTACACTGCAAGTCTTCGCACATGGACATTGTGCCAGTCCTGGAGCCATCCTTGCACATACTGCTGCGGATTCTGTCTGAAAGGTTGTTCTCGCATTTCGCGACGCATGTGCTTGGCCCCTCCCCCTCATGGCACATCGTAGCTTGTAGATGGGCTTACCCAATCCTGAAAGGAGCCGTGTACCATGTGTAATGCGACATGATGCGTATAAACGCTAATTTGCTCCAGCTTGCGCCAACGCAAACCCGTGCGTCAGCAATATGTTTGAGACACAATGTGCATGTTACATACGCTAGTACATGAGAGAGAAAGAGAGAGGGAAAGAAAGAGAGGGAACCCTTCACGTATTATGTGATGCCTTTGTTAACTCTAGTGCAGTGTTTCGTTTAGAGCTTCCGGCGCAGTGATTCGTGCAGCATGTTGGTTTTGTGAAAACATCAGCGGCTGTAATGTATCACGCAGGCTGAATGTCATCGTTGATTCATGTGCTAGCTTCAATAAACCAACTGGCTTGCAAACAATCGATTTGTGAAAGCGTTCTCAAGTGGGCACGTACTTGCTTCACCCGCTACAGGATGTTGCAGCAGCACTGCCGACTTCGAACTTCAGCTACATCAGAACACGTCAATGAAAGCTGCTTTACACGCGCAAGTTAATTATGCTGAGTCATGGCAAAACATGCCTTGTCTCAGACAACTGATGTCCAGAACTTCAAGATACCAAGATGTCTCTTGTCGATGAGTGGCGCACGACATCCTTATGCGTGACGGTATGTATGCCGTCTTGGCAGTTTCGCGACGATGTGCTTGAGCTGCACAAGAAGCATTGCACACACCAATTGGGAAAGAACATCTGAGTACGTGCAATATTTATGTATATGTATAGATGTAGTAAGGAAATATCTTGTAAACAAGAAGGCTGCACCAAGCAAATTTGACCGCAAATGACCCAGTCTAATACACCCAACACGGCCGCTCGCACACAGACACACGCACGCGCGCGCGCGCACGCACACGCGAACACATGTGCACATGCGCACATGCACGTAAAGATACTTCACCGCACGATGGGTTGTGTGTGAAGCTCTTCCGCGCAGGTACAGGGCGAGTTCTTTGCTAACGATCGCTTCGCCGTCGTTCCAAGGCCAAGGCGCAGCCTTGAAACAAAAACTCCATGTACAGGGAGTTTTTCATTCGAAGCTATAAGCTTTCACTTTGACCCCTGACCGCCACTTCCAGAGAGTCGCCTTGTGCTTGCGTTCCTTGTGAAGGACCCTATTCTCAGAAACATGTGCTTAGCTGTTGATGCGCGGCAGCTTGAGGCTTTCAGCTTACTTTGAAGGCTGGAAGTGAGGACCTCGGATGTTTGGCTCGCTTTGGCAAATTGAAGTTTCCTCACACACTTGGCAGGACACAGGCTCGACACTAGGAAGATGCACAAAAAAGGTGATAAGTTGCGACAGAGCTGCGCAGACTCATGGATGGCACGTTCCCTTGTAGATGCCCGGAAGAGCTTCGAGAAGCAGCTGATGAGGCTTGTGGTCTCTGGTGAGGCAGCGGATGCTTTCCAGAAACACATGCCCCGAGCTGCGGACTCACATTTACCAACATTGCATGAGGCTTTTGACAAGGAGATGCGATGAGAATTTTGGTTTTTGACAGGGAGATGCGAAGAGAATCGCCATCTCACGTCGATTGCTCAGGTGGGCAACCCATTTTTCCTGCAAGACTTCTTGGTGTTCGAGGCCTGCCTTCGATGAAAGTCTGTGTGCCACCGCATTTGTTGGGAAAGGTCGATATCTTTTCTATTGGAATTCGTGCTGCGCATCACAATGTGGCCACGTGCCGCAGGGCTTCCTTCACCTACGCCTAGCGTATGCTGGGCTGAGTCTGCTCCCCGATTGTTGTCGGCCGAAGCGCAGCAAGAGCACGGCATCATTGTCATCTGCGGCGCAACTGAGAGAACTGCAGAGAGGCTAATGATGCTAATGAGAGAGCAAGAGTGTGCGAGCGGGAGATAGAGAGATGAGAAGGGAGTATGAGAGGGAATGAGAGAGATGAGAGAGTAAACATGAAAGGGAAATGGTCAAGGGAAACGAGAGGGAGATCAGACGAGAGAGCGAGAGAGAAACATGAGAGAATCAGGAAGAAGAAGAAGACAAATGAGAGTGAGAGATGAGAGAGGAGATAAATGGCCGATTGATTCCAACTCTAGCAGCCATCTGTGGCCAGCTGAAGCCGTCACCGGCGTATTCCCAATGACTCGCAATGTTTTCACCATGCTGTGACTTGCAAACCATGTAAAACCATGCATTCCGAAGTTCTCGCACAAGTATTGGATAGTATTGGTAGGGTGGAAGTTTTCTGTTGTCAGTATTGGTAGGGTGGAAGTTTTCTGTTGTCATCTTCTGAAACCACCAACACGTCATCATCTTCCAGCATCTACCAGTACATTCGCTTTCTCAACGCCAAGAACGAGATGTCGTCACCGACCGACACACCAGCGGCCAAAATCCTCAAAACCGAGACAAAGGCTTGCGGCAATGCGGGCATTTGACACGGCCTTCTGTTTCCAGTGAAAAGGTGGGGTCATGGCCCAGGTACTATGCCCCTTCCTCCACTCTTCTACGTATACTGCCGCCCATCCTCGGATCCAAGGACGACCTGCACTTCAAACAGAGAAACCCTTGTGTTGAGTGCCACCTGAATATAGCTGAGTTAAACTGATTGCCAACAAAAGCGGATGTAATGAGTGTTTTGAGGTTCTTCTGTGACAGCGCTTGTGACAACGCTGAAGGACTTTCCGAAGTTTGGGCTTCTTCGACTGCACACCGCTGGCCGCCCTGGCTGACGTGACGGTCTTGCGACAGGCATCTTGCCACAAGGAGTGCCACAAAAAGACTACACAAAAATGCTAACAGATTTAACGGTCAACCACCCATTCCTAGTCCGAATGGCCTGGGGTCTGCACAGACCTGCACTGAAGTCCCACTTGAAGTGCCTGTTACGTGCACCTACCAGGCAAGAGATGACAGCGATGCGGCCTTTGAGGTCCCTGAGAAAGCTTCCTTGATCATCTTGATTCCGGGGGCCGGTGAACACGGAACATGCAAGCAGGGAACGATGTGGAATGGTCCAGGATCGCCAAAGTGTGGATCGTTGCTTGGCTAGGCGCTGGAAGAGGCCCTCGGTGGTGCGAAGTACGGCAACGAGATCACGTGGGTTCATGCCCCAGCAGTGAACAACCATGGAGGGAGACTGACACCTTGGTGCAGGGGACATGGAGAGGAGACATGGAGGGGAAGAGATCGATTTTGCGACAGCAAGTTCCCCCCAGGGTGTTGACACCTCCATGACAGCATACGCTCAGGTGCTGGCCACCGACTCAGCCCTCCAAACTTTTGGGCAAGCCGAGCGCGTGGCTCAAGAAGGCCCCCAGTCTTGAGTCGCGCGCCCCTGGCAACGCACGGATACCTGAGTTGGCCCAAGCTAGAATAGCTCTGCTTCGACGACGGGGCAAGATCTGTCTTAAAGCATGGACCTCGCTTTGCTCATGTCAGTGCAATCCTCGACAGTTGGCCCTTCATTCACGTTGCGAGGGGTGTTGCCACGGACGGAGTTGTTGATGTAAAGTTGCATCGCGGCCGCGTGTACTTTGGGACGAAGGTCCCAGGACACAAGTCGACAACTGAAGTCGTGCCGTAAGTTTTGTTTGTGGACATCGCCAGACATTAGGAAGCACTCGCAGAAGTTATAGCGGAACAATGGCTCATTGAAGAGAGCCTCCAAAGGAGCCGTTGATGTGTAACAAAAGTTTATAAAACTTTCATACTGGAATCATTTCGCAACAAGAGCAGCGGGCTGGTTGGCTTGTTCCGATTGAGATTGCAGATGGGCAAATGTGATAAATCTGTGCAGGGTCCGAACAACTGCTGCGGCTTCTGCAACCTCGCCTGGACCACATTCGTGGCCGCCCGGAGGACAGTGGAGCCACACAGCGTCTGAAACTGAACGTCAAAGCCATGAATGCAATTGACAAGAAAGAGGCAGCAGACGAGGCATCTGTAGGGGGCTCTCAGGTGTGCAATGGCGTGCTCATGTGCTACAGACTTGCGTGTATTGCTGGAGCCTCGCCCGGAAGTGTCAGGAGCTGGCTGTTCCCATCAACTGGACCAAGGACACGAGCTCTTTAGGAGAAAGAAAGAGAACTGTGGTTTGATAGAGTGCGCTGCCCAAGCCTGAGCATGGCAGGACCATCTCTTCAGCGCAGTCTTCATGTCATCACAGATCGAGGCTGAGCTCCAGTGCTTGGGGCGCCCAGACACCCCTTGGCCACAGAAGGCATTCACGAGCTCAGAGCATCATCCTTTGCATCTTGCAGGTCAATACGGCCCTGCAGGAGAGGACGTGCCAAACGCTGCTTGACTGGAGGCTGCCGCTGCAAAGGGAAGTGACACAGACACGCAGGCTTGAGATTCTGCCAAAGCTAGGCACAGCAAACGCCGCAACAGAAATTGCATTGCAGGAGGATGGGATATCGCTGCAGCCGCTTCCTGACCGTGATTCTCGAGCTAGCCCCACGCAGGTGCAAACTGTTTGTGAGTGCCATTGGTCATGGCATCGAGACGGTGGCAGTGTCAGTGACAAGGGTCAGTGGCAAGGCCAAGTTTGCGGCTTTTCCTGTAGCCACTGTAGCCTGCTTGCACTTAAAGTGAACTTGCCGATCTTTGTCGATACTGACTTCGCAAGGTGCTGCTCAAGCAACCTTGATTGAAAGGCACCGCGTCATGATCGGTCAGTAGTGAAGTAGTCCAATCCAGTAAGTCATCGGTGCCAGCAACCTGGAGTTTCAGAATCCAACAAAGGGTTCAAGGACAGAAGACAAAGCCGTTGCCTCAAATACCTATATGTACTATGTCATGGCATCCAGAGGTTCGATAGCAGCTGCCCTTGCTTTAGCACATGCTTTAACACATCTTGGAGCGCAAATTGCGCCATGTGCTGCGGAAACCCGCAGGTGTGACAGCAGCACGGCTCAGTATCTTTCTTGCTTGGCATCAGTTGGAGGTTTCGGCAGTTAGTCTCGCCTGTCTGTGCCTACATTGCCCGCATCTCGACGATGCTCTTGAACGTTTGTTTGCTGCTGTGTGTAGCAACGGATTCGCGACCTATCCAACGCGTTCTAAGGGGACTGACTGTTGACCACATCCTTGCACATGAGGTCATGGACGATCTTTGCTACGAATGGTGCGAAGGTCAAGGGTTGGATGAGGCTCAGGGAGAAGACCAGACCCGAGAGCATCCACCAATCCTTTGTTGGTTCTATGCAGGACAAAAGCTTTTACTGGCAGCATTTCTAAACTTAGATTGATCCTTGGGGCCCTGTGCATGCCTTTGCCTGAAGCTCTGCTCGGTGATCCTACTCAGCCTCACAGCTTTGGGCCTGTTGAGCGTAGAAGCCCAGACCTGAAAGGCGTGTCTGATAAAACTGCTCGAGCTGGACGTTGACACGCTGCTTGGCGGCATTGGGCTGGGATATGCTGGCAGACCATCTGAACGGATGCACTATGCACATAATTGGATCGATACGTTCTGCAGTCGGTGTATGGGAATAGCCAGAAAGTTGTCAATGACTTCGCTGAGGAGGCAAACTGTCATCAATGGCTTCGAGCCCAAGCCTGGAACGAAAAATGTTTCCGGACTTTTTGTCCCCCGGTTTACAAGCAACTGCTCATCGAGATTCACGTGTTAGAGGCAGCTCAGAGTCGTTCGTGTTGCAAGACCAGCTGAGATGGGCTACGTGCGCTCCATTCAGCAAGCAGCGGCGGGAGCGCCGGCAGCGCTGGCAGCGCCAGCGCAGATGCAATGGAAGGGCATTCCCAGAGGCATCTCCAAAGGCATCCCGAAGGGCACGAAGGGCCGTGGCAAAGAAGCAAAATCGCTGGCCATGCCGACTATGCCGGCCATGCCGGCCATGCCAAGCATTGCAACTTGGCCCGGGGTGAGAAAAGCATAGCAATAGCATTGCACGATGCAGGATTTGAAGTCATTTGCAAACGAAATCGTCGCGGCTACAAGGCCCAGAATGCTGCAGCACAGTTGCAAGAAGAGGCCATCAAGCTGCTCGGATTATGTTGGGCACTGCAGTTGAGTCCTCTCAGACCACATTGCGGAGACGAGGTTCGCGGAGTCCTGGGGCCTGGATGACGACTGCATCGCGCAGCTTCTGGCGCAGCCACCGCAGGCTCGTGGGCCTGCACTGCCTGCTTGGCCTGCGACCCGAGAGTTGCCGTCCGGAATGATTCTCTCCTGAAGGTTTGGCTCGCGTTTGTAGGTTGCCGGTGTAACGCAGTGTGCCATATCGCGAGAACGCCCCAGCATGTCACTGCACAATGCCATGGAGCACCCCGTTGACGTGGGCTTGCGCGGCACTCTTCCAGAAGGCCAGGGATACGGGACACGCGGGTCTTGTTGCAAGCACATTTTACCTGAGAGCATGTTTTCGTCTTGTGCATCCTCCCTAAACCTTCTGCAGATCTCCACATAGTTTAAGCTGACATAAGAGGGGCTGAAGATGGGAGCCCATGGGTAGGTCACGGGCGACTGCGGCTTTCGGCGTGTGGACGTTTCCAGAGAAGGCTTCAGCAAGCAGCTTCGCAACGAGAAGAGGCCGAGATCTGTCCTTAATGTTGCTCATCGGAGCGTAGTGGAAGCAGCAGATGTAATGGATTACGATTCGTACCAATACAAAGGCTGCACATCACAAAGCCACAAAAGCCTCGCCTTCGCCACATGCGTTTGTGACGCAGCTTCCAAGTTGTACTCTTCAAGTATTGCACAAGTACATACAAGTGCTATGCCTTGCGGGGCAGAGGCCGCTGCTCCTCCACTCCATTCCAGGCGTCCCGTGGCTGCATGGTTTCTTTTTGATTCTTGAAGCATTTCCATGTGCTGATGTGAGCAGATGCTTGCCAAAGAAGGGTGCACAAATTGGGCCCGAGAAGCGGGATCTGCTTGGGAGGAACGGGGGCCAAGGGAAGGGTGTTCAAGCGAGAGATGTACATTGCAAGTTCGGCGTATTTCGACATGCAGTAGATACCGGGGCTTCGGCAAGAAGCGAGTACGACTCAACATACGTTCCAGCCAAAAAAATCCTCAGCAAAATGCTCGTTGCAACGTTCGTTCAAGTCGTTCAAGTATGGGCTGGCAGAGGTTGGCACTTCAGTGCCGGGATTGGGGTGACGCTTTGGTGTGATGAAAGTCGCGACGCGACCTCACACACCACAGACTTGAAATTCTGTGCCTTTTATGAAATTTGCTGATGTGCGGGTTTGGGCATTGGGCATGCCAGTTTCCACTTGCAAAGCAGGTTTCAGATGCACTGGTCGACGCGGACCAGGAGACCGCAGCCAACACTGCTTCAGAGTTCTGCCATGTCCTGTTCTCGGTATGTCTCAGTGCAAAGCCTCCACCAGGAGTGGATGCTCAGACAGTTTGGAAACTTGCGGATGCAGCTGGAGCCTGGCATTGATGAAAGTTCGACACATTTCCGGCTGACCAAGGACAAAACGAACGGCAAAAGACGGGAATTGAGTCGGGTGTTATCGGGTTCTACTCGGTGCAAAGAGGTGCCACGAGTGCTATTGCTCCCCCCCCCCCCCCCCCCCCCCCCCCCCACATCAAAGACGTCCGGTTTGAATGCTGTTCACCCGGGTTTCCCTAGGGCCGTTGTAGACTGCCAGGAGTGGAGATCATTGAGCCGCTACATCCGCCAGCCAACAGGTTGACCAGTCCGTAGGGTGAGCTGTAGGATGAGGCTGAGGTATCCTTGAGGTGCTTAGCGGTATCTCAGCATGATCTCTTGTTCTCGTGCGAGGAGGGCAGGAGCTTGGATTCGAGCACGGGTTCGCGGGCAATTTGAGCCGCTCGGTGTGGCGCTCCAGGTTTGGGGTGCTGCCGGATCAGCTGCAGCAGGAACTGGCATTCCCAATCCTTACGCTGGGTGCCAAGGGCACAGGCTCCAGCATGCATCAGCATGAGGAGACATGGCTTCTTTTACTACATGGCCGCAAGGGTTGGTGGATCAGCGAGGAGCCAGTCTCGAATGGCACAGCAACGTTTGCTCGCCGGAATCCCTGCCAACACATCGAATCGAGCATTCCTTCGGGATATCAGTTCTGTGTGCAGCATCCTGGAGAGGTAGTGCGCCCCGTCCAGATTCGTACTGTTAGAGCGGTGACACATTTGTTCAACCCATTGCTCTGTAACAACGCGCCCAAGGTACTTCCCAGATGATGCCTTCCATGCCACCTGCAATCTCGACAGCTTTGTGTGGGGTTTGGGATCCCAGGGCAGCAACGCAAATTGGCCGCCGCTCGTGACTTTTCGTTCAATGCGGATCAGCTAGTGCAGCTAACACTGTGCTCCCAAGCTCGCACTTGACCGGAAATCTTTGGTTTTTGCTGCACTCAGGTGATGGCCTCAAGCCTGGGGGACGTACGAGCTGTGACGAGGATGCTCAAGAAGAGGGAGGCGGACACAAATCGCACAACGCCATGAACAGCTGACTCGAGATAACTGGAGGGAGTTGAACTGTTTCGAGGATGAACTGAACTGTGTGAATCGTTGTGTGAAGTGCAGAGATCTTTTTGGGATCTCCTGTGATTTTTTGCGAGGGCCGCCCGACACGTGCAGCCTTCGCAGCCGCTTTGCAGCGTTCCCTGGGTCTCCAGCAACCAACCGCCAGAAGGCGCCCTTAGATTTTCATTATATATGTAGTACTTCTGTATTACTTTCTTATTTATATTATCATGTATCTATGCAATTATTTATTTATTTTAGACAAGTTTTGTCGTAGGTTTGACGTGAATTTGGCGCATGGAATGTTGTGATCTGGCGTCCCCATCGTCCCTCCTTCAGAGTGGCAGTTTGCATTGTGAGGCTTATGAAGCATGCGGCAACATTCCTTGAGGAATCAACAGGCCGCTCTCACTCTTTGAACAAGTATAGGGCGGATCAAGGGCGCTCTTTTCCTCAAAGGTTTTCTAGTCTTCGGCTTTGTGCAGGTCACGCGGTCGGCTACTGAGCCTTGATCGCACCAGCCTTCTTCTCCCTTGCAGCATCCTCGTATGTGTGAAGATGTGTGAAAGCCCCAAGTTTCCAGGTGTCACAAGGTTCCGAAAGCTTTTTGATAAAAGTTGTAAGCACGCTGAGTCGACGGCCCCCTTGGAACTCACGTCGGCTCAGAGCCCAGTGGCACGAAAGTCCTCTCTTTCCATCCCACCAGCTCCCTCCCCCATCCCCGAAGCTGTCGTCGTTTTTCGACTCTCATCTTTCAGGTGAAGCTGTTACCCCTCATCTTTCGCCAACTTTCACCACATGCCAAAAGTTCGCAGGGATTGCGGACCGGCAGTCGTGGCTGTGGTGCTGGTTGTGGCGATGATACTGCTCATGATACATGATGATATGTTGCTCCTTTTTGTCCGTGCCTGGACTTGCTGTTCTTACTCGAACGAACAAGTGCGCAGAACCGAACACTCCAAGCAGTTGGAACTTGAAACAATGACGGAATAACATTGCACCTATGGAGTTTCCATGCCGGAGTGCGATTGTGTGTGTGTGTGCGTGCGTCTATGCGTGCAGTGCTGTATCCTGGATCTTGAAGTCTCCCGCTCTCTGCGAAGCAGCAGGCACAACATCGCCCATTCATGCAGCAGCTGAGAGTGGGGATGTAGCAAAGGCAGGGTTTCAGCACTCCACGCCATACGTACTTCACCGACTGCTGCGCAAGTGACAGGTGCAGAGGCTACTGTCTTTGGGCTTTGCTTCCGAAGAGGCTTACTCAGAGACCGTGCGCACCTGGGCCGCAGTGTTGGCTAGTAGTCAGATTGTTATGATTCCGGGCCCCATTGTCTAAGAGCGGCGAAATGTATCGACGTTGCTGGTGCTGATCCTTGACATGTTGAACAAGTTCACGGCCGGCTCTGCTGGCGCATCTGCCGCTGCCGCACGCCTGTTCGTCCAAAACATTCCAGAACGCGCGTGTTGAAGGCCATCCAATCTTCCGTTCTCTCGATGTGTTAGTTCTGTGTTTTGTTTTCTCTCTCTCTCTCTCTCTCTCGCTCTCTCGCTCTCTCGCTCGCTCGCTCTTTCTCTCGCTCCCTCTCTCTCCGTCCATGTTTCTCAAACCTCCTCAGATGCCGCCTTGCCACCAGTACCTGATGCTGGGGTGGGAGAAAGTTGGAGCTGACCAAGAGTACATGTTCTAACCTGTGAGAATGCATTGGTAGAGTTTCATGATCTCCATCGCGTCGGATCACGCCGATTCGCTTGTGTGTGACAAGGATTTATTGCGCTGGAGATTGCTGCTTTCTTGGGGCACACTGGAGTTGTTGAGCTCTTGGCCCAGCAAACGGGCCCCCTGTTGCAGAGCCAGCGTGCTGTCATCCTTGGCAATGCCCTGAGAAATGCGGCGCAGAACGGCCACACCAGAGTCCTCCAGCTCCTCAAGCACCTTGGAGCCTTGGAGACCCCACAACAAAATCCGTCAGAGTTTTGCTTTTGGCTTTTGTTTTTAAGACACGTAAGCTTCAGGGCCCTCCGCAACTATTCAGCTGTGTTGAACAGTGTGCAGGAGCAGAGCTCACAATGGCCGATGCCGAGGGCCGTGTGGGGCTCCACACCGCGGCAGCCGGAGGTCAACTGGGAGCGCTGAAGGCTTTGGTTTCGATGTACCTGAGCCCCTCCAGTGCCATCGACACAAGCGACTACAGTGGGCACACTCCACTGCATGCTGCCTCAGAGCGAGGGCATGCGCCGGTTGCACAATATCTCCTCCGCACAGGTTCTGAGCTCTCGGTAGCAAACCGAGACATGGAGCAGCCTATGCATCTTGCTGCCCGGCAAGGCCATGCAATAGTGCTGAGCTTGCTCCTCAAACGGAGGGCAGATATCTTACAAAGGAGTACATCGGGGGCTTCTGTGCTTCATGCAGCTGTTATGTCTGGTTGTCGAAATACGACCGAGCTGCTGCTGAAGCACAGAGCGTCTCTCCATGCTCGTGACGCTAGAAACAACCAGCCCTTGCACATTGCAGCACAGCATGGTGACATGGCAACGGCACTGAGCTTGCTAAAGCAGCGTGCTGACATATCCTCACTTGGTGATGAAGGGCCCGCCTGGAAAGTGGCAAAGCGAAGGGGCTTTGATGAACTTGCTCAGCTGTTGCGGAAGCAAGGCATGCTTGAGCTGTGAAATCCGTGGCTCAACTACATGTTCAACGAACGAGGCCTGCGATCTGCGACTCAAACACGACCCCAGCATGTGATCTGCGGCACTTGCATCCCGCTTCTGACACCTGGGGTCTGGCGAGCACAAGACTTTCGAGTTACTTTCAAGAGTTGCAGAGGCTGCTGTCATCTGCAGTCGGTATCGGGGGAGGCGCGCTGCCTTGCCTCGACCCGCTCATGGAATCCTTGGATCCTTGGATGGCCAAGATACGCGCATCTGCAGAATCAAGCAGAATCAAAGCTGTGCCGCCTAGCTGGGCCTAGCTTCTTTGTGTGCGAAGCACACTCACGGCTCTGAGAGACAAAGCCCCGGTCCTCTTTCGAAGGCTGAACAAGCCTTGCAACATGTAGCAACAAATCCAGGTAGGATGCAGGGAGCATCTGTTCCAGGATATGTTCTTGGCAGTTCATGGAAGAAGCACGGCCATGCGCCACATGGAACGCAGGTGGTCGCTGACGTAATGGCAAGCTTCAGTCCGAAGGCTACAACGCGCAACGTAAGGACCGCAGCATGAATTCATAAGATGCAGTGGATTGTCATCCTGCGTGTCTCGACTCAGAGCACTTCCGGGGGGGCCCCGGAAACCAAGCTAGAATTAGCACTGGGCCCTGAAGCTTGAACCCTAAACGGTTTGAGGAGCGGGGGAAGCCCTAACAGGGTTCCTTCAAACAGGACCATGAAGGCTAACTACGTGGAGAAGACACAAGCAAGTAGCGACATCGATGTCCACAGCGCTGCAAGCGACAACACACGGCATGCAACAACTCGTAAGCCTTCGTTTTGTTCGAAACATGGGTGACTGCATGGACTGCTTAATGAAGAGATAGAACTGCGTTGGACCATGCAGGAATCTGTTCCTCAGCTTCCTCAAGTCTGTGGCAGATGCGAGCAGGGGCAACATGACAAAATCTGTGTGCGTGCAGTTGTGGTGTGATGCAGCTCGTTCCTCTCGTGGTTGCACGGCATATGGTGAATACTGTGTGGCAAGTTTTCAAATTTGACTCTGAGGTATCCCGGCGGTTGCTCCGGTGCGGGCAGTCCCACCGCCTTCCGCCTCGACAGATCTGGAAGTGGAAGCAATGAGGCAAGATTCCGCCAAAAAAAAAAATCAAACGTGTCTGCTTGGAACAGACGTTCGTGTCCTGCCAGCTTCATGGAGCACTTCGGCTTAGACGACGAATGTCTGCGGAGTCTTGTCAGCCCTATTCATGGACAATTTGGTTCATCCAGGTTGCAGATTTCGGAGAAGGGTTGCTGTACAGAGCCTTGTCATCTTAGGCAGCTGCTTCTGCAGCCACCAGATATTGTCCCGCGCCTAATCGTCTCACGGATGTGCATCAGACTGAGCAGCTACTTTGCGTCAACTTTCCAAATTCAGCCACTGGCCCTAGACATGTCGCGGAGGGAAGCCAGTGCCAGAGCTGCGAAGTCTGAGTAGCTGCGCTTTGGCAAACGCCGTGCCCACGTGTAAGGCCCGAGCCGTCATGGCTGGTTTCCAGCCTCGGCAAGACACGCAGAACCCGCAGGGTCTGTTCATCTCATACTTGAGATCTGCTCCTTGGGCTGGCATCGAGGGTGCTGCAGTATACGATTGCTATCTGCTTGCTTTGCAAACACAAGACCACAGTAACTTACGAGTCTTTTCAGGTCGCGGGCTCCGCCGGCTCCAAGGGCTCCAAGGGCTCCAAAGGCTCCAAAGGCGCCACAAGCCGGAGCCTGAGAAGATACCAGGGCTTTGACACCAAGGCAATATGGGACAGGGAGGGATAAGAGACAAAGAGAGAGGCTCAAGTCGGACCCCTAGTTGCCCTAGCTTGAGCATGTTTTGCCAAACGGTGTACTACGCCCTAGCCACTCTCAGGGGCGTCCGTTGAGAAGGCAAAACGGAGGACTTGGGCAGCAACAGCGTGAATGCGATAGCGTATCCTAACAACCCACTTGACCGCGTATTGAACCTTCTCTTGAGGCTGCTTTCCGGTACAGTTCCCTGTTTGCTCTTCGCATTTGTGCTGTAGCTCGCTGTCGGGCTTGCTGGTTTTGCATGCATGGACGGACTTGTTCGGATACGAGTCGGACCTGCGTAGCTCTGTGCTTTAATTCTGACAACCCCTGTTGCTGGGTGGAAAAACTCCAGAAGTAACGTGTTTTGCGGCGAATTCCACAAGCACTTCCTTGACCAAGGTGTGTTTAGCTCTTGGCCAAGCAGTCCACCAGGCGTCACAGTCCGAGCAGCACCCTACAGGCGAGGGTCAAAGAGTCAAAAGTTTTGGTTGCTTTTGCATCCATCAAGCAGCAGCAGCAGCAGCAGCAGCAGCAGCAGCAGCAGCAGCAGCAGCAGCAGCAGCAGCAGCAGCAGCAGCAGCAGCAGCAGCAGCAGCAGCAGCAGCAGCAGCAGCAGCAGCAGCAGCAGCAGCAGCAGCAGCAGCAGCAGCTACGGACCGTGGATAGGCAGGGCAGTTCAGAATGATTGAATCGTTTGTCTATGTGCAGGTCCCCCGCACCAATGCAAGGCAGGACCACAGAATCCCAAATGTTCGGCTCGTCGGGCAAGTTGAAGCATGTCCAACCTCGATGAGTCGATCATCTGATGGTCCTGCCATGACCAGGCAAAGGCTCGAGCGCTCCGCGGGCCTTCGCTTTGTCGGTGTCAGAGCAGGAGCCCATGCTTCCAAGGTTTCTTCATATGCCGGTCTTAGGTCTTCATGTATTTGGGGACCCTGCTTCGTGTCCCACTTTCGTTTGACCGAGGCAAGACTTGCTGGACTTCGTATTGGCTTGGCAGCTCGACCAGGCACGCTGCGGAGTCCTGAGATTGGCGGCATGGCGCGTGTGTTGCACAGGCCTGCTTGGACTCCCTCCAAGCACAGGTCGGGAGGGTGGAGCATGCTGTATATGCTGTGCTTTGGGTCCTCGAGATTGCTCTGACTTGCAAAGTTTGGCCCGCTGTTCCGGAAAGGATGTGGACATCCAGCGCTTCGTGCTCAGCAATTTCCAGCCCAGAGAAGGCCGTTGCCCTTCACAAACCCGAATCCTGTGATCAGTTGCGCTGTGCTGCTATTGCCAGCTCAAATGAGCGCATGAGCTGTCGCCTGCGCAGAGATGTGCGACTGTGAGAGAAGGGCTGCGTGCCTGGACAGGTACCGCAAACGTCAGTGGCTACTTGGATGCAGTTTCCAACCCGGACGGAGTAGCTCACCGGCAGTGCCGAGATCGCTAAGAATCCGAACTAAACGACTTCGAAACCGCCAGTGCTTGTCACGTGTCAGGTCTCTTCATGAGTTATCTCAACTCACTGGTGAGGGCGGGCAAGGGCGGCAAGAGTATCCGATGAGATCGCTTCATGCTGCAAGAAAAGTTTCAGGGTTTAGACTGCTTTGAAAGAGATCAATGCCATCGCTGGCCGAATCTTCATAAGCCGCAGTTAGTTGGGTAGTGGCAGTCTTTTCGCCGAACTTCTGTCGTCGCGGTAGGCATGTTGAGCCTCCTTGGATGTGACACGATATGAATGCCAAACACGAAACAAGCCCCCTATTCTGGATCCTCCAGCACAAGAATACAGCCCTTCCAACAAGCAGCAACCGTTCCGTCATCCACTCAAGTGGCAGTCACTGAGCTTCGCATACCCAAGCTGGCCAGGCATGAGTTCTATCGAGATGCCCAGCTCCCAGCAGCAAAGTGCTCTCTGAGCTAGGGTCTTGGATGCCGATGGCAGTTCCAGATCAGGGTACTGCTAGCTGCAGCTGACCATGTCGGATGCGGGATTTCCCGTTCAGACGCAATTTTTGGAGCGAAATCGAAGGGCTTAAAAGTGTTGATCCTACTTTGGCGCCGACAAGGCAGCTATATACAGTCTAAAGATGCAGAATGCAGGCAAATCATCATACATGTGTGAATGGAATGGTTGTTGCAGAGGCCGCCGATGTCGCGCGCGCAGCGGTGCTCGCTGCGCCACTGTTCCTTGAGCCCCGCGCCGAGAACCCTGTAAACCCATGTAAACCCTAAACCCTAGAGGACAAGCGGCAGCAAGAGTTGTGGCAGCTGCGATAGTCAGATGGGAGGGCAGCTGAGGCACTGGATCCGCCTTGCTGTCGCTGCAGCCTCAGGAGCCCTGTCGCTTCCAGCTTGTAAGCTCTTCTGTCCATGCGTCCATGAGCTGCAGCCCTTCAATGTGTGCCGACACACGCGAGGTTTCGCGTACCGTTTGTGCTTAGGTAATCTCGCATCCGGCACTTGAAATGCCTTGGACTCAAAGCCTTGCAAAGCCTAGTTGTCGTCTTTGAGCACAGCGCAGTGCCTGAAACTGAAAGAGGCCTCAAGAAGCTGCGATGCTTGTCAGACAGGCGGCATGCAGAGAGATGCAGCTGTCAAAGGTTGCGCATGTCATTCCCTGATTCGGACAGGCCATGATCCTCAACAATACGCACTACTGCCTGCGAGGCCGCGCGGGGTCAAGCATCCATGAAAGGCATTTGTGTGTGGCGAAGTCGCAAGGATATGACATGGCCAGTTCGAACCTGCTGTTTTCACTGTGAGGCTTGGAGCAGATATTGACCCAGAGCTTGCGCAAAACAGGCGAATGGTGTTGTGTGGGCTGCCGTGGTGAAAACTTCACAGCTTGGCATTCCAGCACAACATATTTTGCGTTAGGCACGGCACGAATCCCCCCCTCCACAACTGCTATTGATCCTCATAGTCGTCATGAGTCATGAGTACTTGCTATTTGCCCATCCCTCTCCTACACTGCTCTACATTTTGACACCAAGCGGGTTCCTGCAGCTTGGGCTGGGCTGTGCCTAGGGCGCCCCCAGTGGTGCCCCTGTTGCACCAGGCAGTCGCCCAAGCTCTCGAGATGAGCATGAGCTCTTAGAGCGGGCCCTCGGAGGAGCCAATGCCACCAGGTACTTCGCATTCTTGAGAGTTGTTTTTCGTGGTGGACTTGCCAAAAGAATTCTGTGCAGGCAGGCCGCTTCAAACAGTGGACAGGCTCCCGCAAAACTGGCAAAGCCAGTAGATGCTGGATCACACAACACATCATCTCATCATTCGCATCGCCACCGTGGCATCATATCCCGCCATGGTTCGCGCAAGAAGTCTTGCTTGCAGTCGCATCCTCCCGGCGCTTTGGGAGGCCGTGCTGTGGGGACGCAAGCTGAGACACGCACAGCGGCGCTGCAGATCCCCCGAGGCGGTTCCCCCAAAAGTCCGTCAGCTCGTACGCTTCCACTTCGGCAGTTGAACGGCAGTCCTGTGGCAACAGCGTGTACGAAAGGCAGCAGCCACCGAAGAAGGCTTCAAGTCCTGGTTGCGCTATGCGTCTCTGCTTCGCACAAGAGGCTCAGACACTGTTGCGCAGTTGATGATTTCACTGTTCTTCAACTTCAAGGTTTCTTCCATTGACCCGGGAAATTGGGTCCCCTTTTCCGGGGGGCGCAAAGACGAAATTCGAAGACGAAATTTGAAGACGAAATTCGGCCCAGCCGAAATTAGGCCTTGAAGACGATTCGGCCCGTGAAGCCTAAATTCGGCCCTGAAGCCTAAATTGGGCCCCTGAAGCCGAAATTCGGGCCCGAAGACGAAATTCGGCCGCTGAAGACGAAATTCGGCTCCTGAAAACGAAATTCGGCCCTGAAGCCTGAAGCCGACATTCGGCTCCTGAAGACGAAATTCGGTCCCGAAGACGAAATTCAGGGCTTGAAGGACCCTGAAGCTTGAATTCGGTTTCGGTCCCCCTTGGGCCTGCAGCCTAAAATGGCCCTGCATTTCGTTTTCGGGGCCGAATTTCGTCTTCAGGAGCCGAATTTCGGCTTCAGGCTTCAGGGCCGAATTTCGGCTTCAGGGCTGAATTTAGGCTTCCGGGCCGAATTTCGTCTTCAGGAGCCGAATTTCGGCTTCAGGGCCGAATTTCGTCTTCAGCGGCCGAATTTCGTCTTCGGGGCCGATTTCGTCTTCGGGGCCGAATTTCGGCTTCAGGGGCCCAATTTAGGCTTCAGGGCCGAATTTAGGCTTCAGGGGCCGAATTTCGTCATCGGTGCCGAATTTCGTCTTCAGGGCCTAATTACGTCTGGGCCGAATTTCGTCTTCAAATTTCGTCTTCGAATTTCGTCTTCGCCCCCCCCCCCCCCCCGGAAAAGGGGACCCACTTCCCCGGGTCTCTGAACGTTTCTTCTTTTTTCCTTGAGCAGTGTGTGCTGGCTTGGTGTCTCAGTTCTTGTTGCGACAGCTCCCACCTCAATGAGCTGGCGGGGAAATGTTGGGCGTTTCCACCAGGGCGAAACTTGACAAGGGCAATCAAGGGGATACATCGAGGTTGAGGTTGGGGCACCAGAGCATGACCCTGCCTTGAGAGACGGGTTCAAATGATGCTCGCCATATGCTCTTCCGGCGTACACTGTCCGATGCCACTTGGTGCATCTCGTCTCACCGTCATCAGCATCAGCGAGGGGCTTGTGAGCAGCATGGCAGAATGGAAAGCTCTAGTCTACTATCCTACTTACTACTATGATTTTAACGCTACGCGACCCGCCTCGGCCCGGCCCAGTGCATCCGCGTGAGCATGGTGATTCCGCAGCGCCCCAGTCGCTGCACCCCAAGCACTGATGGTTGGGTTTAGGGTTTAGGTTCCGGCTTTATGGTTTAGAGTGCAGGGTTGAGGCCTAGTTTAGGGGGGGGCAGGGGGTGGGGGCAGGGGGGGGCCTGCTGGGCGGGGCTTCAACTGCCCCTGTTCCTGGCGAACCTCGCCTACGCGGGGTACCCATTCCAGGCAACTTTTTAGGGGTGTTCTTCAGCAATTCGTAGTCTAGTCCTCAGCCCTCCTCGGAAGCACCAGCATGAGGACTCGGCATGTGACACAGCGGCACGACGGCATCTCACTACTGTTACAGTAGTGGGCACTTCTTGCTCGCCGTGCCGGCAAAATGATGCAAAATGTCTCAAAAAACAGCCTTGCTTGTAAGCTTCACCACTCCCACCCGCCTGTCGTTTGCTTGCAGCAGGCTGGCTCATAGCCGCACTCGGAGTTTGCTTGCATTTGGAGGCGCGATGTCGGGACTCCTTGGAGCAACCAATTCTTGGATACACATCGTGCAGCTGGGCTCGTACGCGTCGCCCACATGACTTTCGGGTTTAGGGAATGAAGGTTTTGGGTTTGGGGTTGTTCCTTTTCCTTTTCCAGGAGCTAGAACCCTCGAGGTAGTGACATTTATATCACGTCAGAGCGCAGGAGCTTTACCTAGCCGACGGTCGACCAGAAGCGCTGCGCGCGCTGGGCGAGGCCGCCGGAAAACCGGAAGCAAAGCCTGGACTCTGGAGGTCTCGAGTGTGCCTTCATAGGGGATCTCTTTGACCCATTCTTGCAGTGCATCGCCTTGTGACTGCTTGTGCTGTAAATTCCGATCTTTTGCATGTAGATATACTACCGTCTGAGAGGCCGTGCCACTGGTTCGCAACTGTCCTCGGCTAAGGTCTGCACGGTTGGCACATGAGCGATCACGTGTCTTGAAGCGCTTGGTAGCTGCAGTGCTCAGCATGGGCAGTATGGACCTCGTCTGCGTCTATGGAGTTTGGAGTGTTAGACAGTTAGACCTCTGCACTTTTCAAGAATCTGAAGTGATGTAGGGCCTGTGGGAGTTGGGTTCGAGGCCGGACCCCGTTGTGGCCGCCTCAGAGCTTGAAGAACGACTTGCAGGTGAGTTCTCAACCGCGTGTTTTGTTAAGCAAAAAGGGGCACACGAACCATGAGATGTTAAATTCATGTGTGTTGGCTGTGAGGCGTATAGTTGGACAGCAGGGGGGGTGGGGGGGGGGGGGATTGCAGGCTTTTGGTGGCCGGCCCAAATGCCCCCCTGGTCCTGACGCACCACTGCCGGACACCGGTTGGTTCAAAGAAACATCACTCGTTTGTCCATGCCTGGGACGGGGTACCTCCGGCCTCGGCGGATTCAGGGTTTAGGCCAAGCGCAGACAGCTCCGAAGTCAGCGATGCTTAGGTGACATTTCCTAAATGTAACGTACCTTGAAGCACTTTGTAGAGGCTGCTTTTTGGCTGATTTGGCTCGTTTGGTAGGGGGTTGCTTGGATCAGTCTTTGCCGGGCTTACTTGTCTGTCAACAGAAAGGGGTGCCCTGGCGTACACATGCCTAGGATTCAAGGGTCTTGGATGGCTCCAACTGGTTCAGGACTGGCTAGTATCTAGTGCCCATGGGAAGTCACCCTTGAAGCCTAGTCGATGCAAAACTTAGCGGCGTGGCGGTGGCTTGACGTTCAATGATCTGTTGTCATTTGGGTCGGGTCGCCAAGTTGCGCGAAGGGGCACGCCACATCAATGTCCATCGAGACTCTGCGCTCAGGGAAAGCATGCTGTTCCACTCCCATTCTGGCCATCAGCCCAGCTTGACAAAGAGGGGAGTGCATGGCAAGGACAAGGTAGTCGCATCAGGTCCTGTGGTTGCCGGATGCTTGCAGCTTGCACTATATTCTGACTATATTGCAGTACTTGTTACAACAGCGCGTAAAGCTGTCAGTATATATATATATATATATATATATTATATAAATGTATATATATATACTATATTGCAGTACTTGTTACAACAGCGAGTAAAGTTTTCAGGCTTCTGGGGTGCTGACTTGGACAGCGCAGACTTTGAGCACCAGGCGCCATCTGCGCTGGAAGCCTAGATTCCCGACCCGCTGCGCGGTGTCATGAATCAGGCAGCGAGAGACTCACGCTAGGGGTTGATGTCAACATCTTTGTCATATTTTCATGTATGGCGAAGGAGCAGCATCTGCTCAAACATTCCCTCGAACTCCTTGCAAAAGTATGGTGCGAAAGGGCATGGTCGACCGAAGAGTTTTTTTTGCCGGATACATGGCTGTCGTTTTTTTTTCACCACCCTTATCCTGCCCGCCCATCAACCCCGCAAGATGCGGCAACGCACCAAGGAGGGAGCTCCTGTCGGAGGAGTGGCTGCAGGAGCAGGAGGAGCTTGCCAGCTGCTTGTGCACTCCCTTGTTGAAAGCCCCAACACCTCCCCAAACAATGCACTAGGCCCTTGGGGACTCTTCGGGGAGAGTATGAGAAACTGAAACTCGAAATGCAGCGATAAGTTGCTTCGATTTTTCATGGTCAAATAAAATTGCAACTTTGCCTAGTCAAGTTGTTGGAGATGCATAGGGTTGCCATTCTGCGACAAGCTCCGCGACAGCTCAGCCCAGCAGTTGCCCAAACCGCAAACATGTCCAAGCAAAGCATATATCAAGCGTTGAACAGCCCCGAATTCAGACGTGCTTTCGGCTCCTAAGCCTTTGCACCGCTAAAGCCGAAGCCTTTAGACCCCCTTGACGGCAAAGAATTTTCCTAACAACAGTTTCAGCATATTAGGTTAGGTTTGCAAGCTAATCATCAACTAGGGTTGAAAAGAATACGGGTTGAAGAAGGCCGCGTGACAAGGACTATGAAACAAGCCCTCCGCGACAAAGGCTTGTAAGCGACCTTGGGATGTTCACGTTCAGGCCGCAACATACGATGGTGGCAAAGACCTGATTGCTGCGAGCTTTGGCTGGCACTGAGGTCTTTTCATTGCTGCATGTTTTTCTGTTTCGTTTTGCGCTCCCAAACCCCGAACCCTCTAAGCTCAAGCGCTAGTTTCTGGCATGGGGGTGGGGGGGGGTAAGATGGACACTTGAAGGCTATGCTGCACGTGCGTGCCTTGTAAACAAATACGTTACAAAGGAAACACCCGCAGAATAGACGCAACGCACCCGCAGAATAGACGCAATGCACCCTTATAGCATCAGCACACTGTGTCCTGGACGCGGGCGCGGAGGGCGCGGAGGGCGCGGAGCGGAGGGCGCGGAGGGGAGGGCGCGGAGGGAGGGCGCGGAGGGGAGGGCGCGGAGCGCGCGGAGCGCGCGGAGGCCGCGGAGGGCGCGGAGGGCGCGGAGGGCGCGGAGGGCGCGGAGCGCGCGGAGCGCGCGGAGGGCGCGGAGCGCGCGAGGCGCGAGGGCGCGGAGGCGCGGAGGGCGCGGAGGGCGCGGAGCGCGGAGCGCGCGGAGCGCGCGGAGGGCGCGGAGGGCGCGGAGGGCGCGGAGGGCGCGGAGGGCACGGAGGGCGCGTAGCGCGCGGAGGGCGCGGAGGGCGCGGGGAGGGTGCGGAGGGCGCGGAGAGGGTGCGGAGGGCGCGGAGGGTGCGGAGGGTGCGGAGGGCGCGGAGGGCTTGCAATTGCGGAGGGCACGGAGGGGCATCCTCCACGTGTCCCCACTCCCCTGCCCATCAACCGAATGTCACGCTCCCCACCACGCCCCTCTCCCAGCAAAATGTTCCGAACCCCCTCTCTTGACCGTGTCGTCCCCGCGGCCTCCCGTCAAAACTCCTCCAAGAAGCGATCCGATAGAACGCCTTCCGCATAGAAGCGGAAACGAGAACCCAATTTCAGAATTTGTTTTCGGAAGAATCCAAGAAAACAAAGAGCACGCGCAGAATAGACGTTAAGCGTCCAAGGCACGGTGGGGGGGGGGGGTATGTTTGTAAGGCGGCGGAGTCCTCTTTGCCAGCCAAGGCACATGCACACCTTGGCCTTTAGCCTGGCCCTCGGACACGAAGTGTGAATCGTGCACTGCAACTCATGAAGGGCATGTGCATGTTAGTCAGAGCTTAGAGCCTTAGAGCAGCTTGACTCAAGGCTATTCCTCGGTGTACCGGACCATGATCGTTTCAGGAACAGCGGCAGCAGGAAAATAGGGTGACACCGGGTTTTTTGCGAGAGTCGACCTCTCTCTTGCTTCTGCCTCGTGAGATTTTGCCTTGTGAGAGAGACCACGCTCTGCAGAGCACCAGGGGCGCACTCAAGAGTTCCATGATCGTTGGAGTACTTTGGAATGCCCGCCGCAGCTTCTGCACGTAATTCGTTGGGCCGCGGAATCAAGCCAACCCCACAGTGCAGACCATGAGCTGCAGAAGCTCACCAAGCATCATGAGCAGCGCCCCTTGCACCGGGCGGTCACAATCCTCTCATACTTTGGAGCATCCGAGTACTCCTTCAAACCCGCCATGGCTGTGCCTTGAAGATTGCTTCGGACCTCCACAGGTGCTGTCGTCCTAAAGCAAGTGGCCAGTTGATGGGTGTCGTGGGTTGCTGCGGTGTAGAAGATCATGCCTGGCCATGTTGCATTGCTTCATGCGCTTCGAAATCTGATCATCAGATGCAAGAACGTTGGTTACTGAGTGCAAATTGCATTCGTTCAACAAGCAGACACGTTACACATGGAAGCCCGATCTCTCCTCTTTCTTGATTGTCGAAGACGTGATCCCTACCATTAGCGCCGGAGTCGCAAAAGGCGAAACATCATCAGCTCTCCGAGGCAGAGTCGCGCGTGCGACCTTGTCCTCGGCCCGTAAACTCATGAAGCCAAAGTTGCGTTGCGAGCGCCCACGGCAGCCGCTAACATTCGTTGCCCCGCTTGCTTCTTCGGACAATACGACTAGATATTTCCCCATGTTCTGGAGCCATTGCAGTCCAACAGTGGGCCCCTCATAGCAAGTGCATTCCTTCTTGGTCAAAGAGGAGAACTATGCGACTACAGGCATCAGAAGAATCAACAGACCACTAAACCCAAGAAGCTAGAAAGTTTTTGCCCAAAACAAAACGCACGCAAAGCATGGGCCATGGAACAAACCAATACCAACGATATGGAGCAGAGTACAGCAAGTATAGTAAAGTATAGTACAGTCGTTTACCACAGTATGCAGGGTGCAGCTTGGAAGTAGCATTCACCTACGACAATGTATGCCAAACTGCGAACTTCAGCAGGTATTGCACATTGGCCCGATCATAGCTGAGCAAATCGCTTGCCTGAAGGTCATGGCATCCGGGACCAAGCGTTTGCCTGCTTTTTTTACTGCCCAAAGTTTGTTCGTGTGACTGCAGCAAGTCGAGTTCTGACCTTGCTGCTCGGCAAGCGCTGTGCGAAACGGTTCGCCGTCAAGGCTTCCCTTTCCAGTGATCTTTGCATGACGTCTATTGGTCAAGCACGCCAAAACTCGAATTGAACCCTTCACCCGATGTATCCAACAGACTCGGTTAAGAGGTTTGGTGACCACAGCCGTCGCCAACGCCTCCATCACCAACCACAAGACCAGCATAAAGAACGACAAGCACCGTAGGAGCAACAACAGCAATACACATGTAGGTGTGAAAAAGATCCACTTCAGCGCCAACAGTACCAAGAGCGATGGAGATCTTGACAGTGCCCATGCTGCAGTCTGCTTCTTGCAAGGTGTTCATGGGCACAAGCTCCGAGCGGAACCGTGCCGAGATTGCTTCACTGCGGCTGGGTGCTCAGGGGCATCGACATGAGGGGCTCTGGCCACAGGTCAATAGGCCACCATGCCCACCGCCCTGAGACGAGGCATGAGATTTCCTCGTTGCTTCAGACCAATGGCCAGCTGCATCAGCACTTGGGGCAGCTGAACAGTATCTCGGCAAAAATCACGGCTGCAGCTTTCCATCCAGTGGCTGATGCAGGAAATCACACAAACAAAACACTCTTGTGAGAGAGTGCGAAGGCTTTCTGCCTGCCGATTCTTCTCTGGCAGCAAAATCACAAGAAGGCAGCCACCATACACCGCCAGAGGCCAGTGACTTTAGAACTTCCGGACGCTGGGTCACAGAGGGGAGCCGTTCAGAGGTTTCGGAGGTCAAAAATGCAATCCGGGGATGGACTTAAATCTGCGTTTGCGTGCGGACCGCAGCCACTCAATCAAAATCGGCATGTGCATTCGTCTATTCCGCGAGCCGTACTTTGCAGCACGTTGCAGCTGCTCTGCATGACTGGCCCACACACTCGTTACAGGAAGGATGCAGGCCAAGGATGGGTCGCGGTCACGCATCGCGACTTCAAGCGCCACTGCATGGAGCAATCCCGCGTGGGCCACTCCTCGGCCTTCAAGACATATTTGCATCCTGACACCTGGACAGGGCATTGGAACCAGAGCCTGAAGCGATCGTTGGAGGTCCTGGGCTTCTCGTCTGTGACTGTGCACAGCCAGAGAACCTTGTCGCCGGTGGGCTGGCAAAAGCAGACGGTGGTTTGCGCCAGTTGGGAGACGGAACCGGAGGAACCCGAACCTTGCCTCGAAAGTTTGGAGGTGAGTGATCGGTTTGTTGTTAGTTGTGGAGGTGAATTCGGGAGGTAAGCTAAAGTGAGGCACTGGAGGTTGCAAATAATGACATATCAGTGATCCACGTCAAGAAGCCATGCAATCTCTTGTGAAGCAAAGGACGACGGGCAGAATGACAATGGGCAGAATGAAAAGGGGCAGAATGACAGCAGTTGAATGCCTTCACATGCCGTCTTGGCCCTGGAGAAGCATGATGACTAGCCTCTGGATTGCTTTTGATCACTCACCAAGCAATTCAAGCAATCAGCACTTGGCAGCAGGTCAGTGGGACTTGCACGTATCACCGGCCAGCAAAGAATTGACTGTCCTTGCCGGATGGTTTTCGTTGAACACACCAATCACAAATGCCTTGTCAGCTTTGTGATGCGATCATCATCGGCTCTGTGAATCAGAACCGTACAGAACTTTCAATGTACAGACAAAGAGCAGGACAAGTGTAGCAGCAGCAGACACAGCATAGCTAGATTCAGCTAGAGGTATTTGTTACTGAGGAAGCATGCTTGCGCATTCTCTTGTCAAGACCTGACTGTTCTCAAGGTTCACTCGGTGATACTTGCTTGCAAGCTTCGTAAGTCGTACATCGAGGATGACGCTCAACCCAGTCCTGCATCCATTTTTCAGCAACGGAGGCTCCTGTAGTGATGGAACTCTGACCACGAAAAAAGGTGTGATATTTTCCTGCCATGGCCAGAAGCTTCTGCGCGAGACTTTGCAACCGAAGCTTGCCTAGCCATTGGGGTCAACTCACAAAAACGCAGTCAAAACCCAGGTTCCGAAATCTGCCCTGAAGCCGTGGATTCTTTCTGTGGAGGCAGCTCGCCGCTCTTGGGAGGCGTCGGTGGAGGAGCATGGTTTTTAGGGTTTAGGGTTTAGGGTTTAGGGTTTGGTGCAGGAATGTACTGGTAGGGCAGAATGCCCGGAGACTCGGGGGCTTCTACGTTTAATCTTCGAGTGCTCTCGAAGCCCAATCGAAAATCCAAAGATTTGACGGTTGAGGAAAACTGTAGCATGGTCTCCGTTGTACAATGTCCTGCACGTGGCCAGGGGCGCCTTCGGGGAACGCCTGATGCGCACCTCGGATGTCTTTTAATCTATGACAGCGTCTTAGATCGCGGTGCTTCAGACAGCTTTCTCCCAGTGCCCTTTGTCCAGGGTTTAGAAGTACATAAAAGTACCCTGTATGTCAAAGCTGTTGAAAGTGTGGCGAGGTACGGGCTTCGTACGGACCCAGGCAAGCAGTGCTTTCTGCACTCTGAAAGACATGATGGAACATGGGGGTTTCCGAAACGGTCCCTTAAAGGGGGCTCTATTCTATTTGGGGGTATGAAGGGGTACCCCTCTTTTGGGCAAAACCCACGTGTTCAAAGGCGCCAGCTCTCTGAGCTCGCCTCGTGGAGCTGCAGCACTCGCCTCGTTGCTGCGCGAGACTGGGATGCAGCAAGTCGTCATCAGCCATGGCTTTAATCATTTATCATTTGTAATATATTATCGTATTCCCGATTGCATCATTACCATTATTTATATTGCCAGATGTATGACCTTCTACGAAGGAGCGTGACGACTTGCAGCAGCGGCTGCAGGCAGGACTGTCTGCACACGTCTACGCGTATCCTGTCTGCTCTTGTTTTGTCATGCAGCTCGTGTAGCAACGTGATCCAGTCCAGTAATGCCCAGTTGAGGTGAGCACACGTGTATTACAAAGCAAGATGCATGAAAGAACAAGCTGAGTCTTTTTGCTTCAGAAGCCGCTTTGCAGGCCACGGAGCTTGCGCGATGTGCAGTTCGGGCCTCGGGGTAGCGCATGCTGACGTTTCAAGAACTGGGCGTCACTCAGACGGTGACGACTCAGGAGTACAACTCTTCACACCCAAGCATCGGTCAGTCTACATGAGGCCCAACAACGTCGTGCCACGGCAGAGGCAAGCAGCAAAAACTGACTGTGAAAAGACTTTGGCGGCCCCTGGCATTGCATAGAAGACGCGCTGTGGTCACCTGTGGCAAGCGAAACAAATGGGGCTTACGAAAATAGAGGACCCCTAAAATAGACCCCCCAATGTGTAGGAGTGTAGGAAGTCCTTTCAATACTGACCCCAAAAAGGGTACCCCTACTTTCGTAAACCCCCAAAATCTTGGACAAGTCTTGGCCAGGCAGCCCTTCGCCGTTGCACAGAAGACCTGGCCATGGCCCCGGGGCACTTAAAACACGCCTCCCAATCCGAGACGGGTTGAGGGTTTAGGGTTTAGGGTTTAGGGTTTAGGGTCGTGCGGGAAGGAGTGGCAGCGCAAACGGATAGCTGCACAAGCAGCTGCCCAAGATCAGTCCATGAGCCGGAAGCTTACCATTGCTGCAACGCATTCGGCAGAATGCGCCGGAGAGCAAATCTCTGGTCTTGTGCTGAAAACACGCCGAAATGCACCGAAACATGTGAGAAAGTTTCCTTCAATGCCGAACAAACATTGCAGTTCATGCCAGTTAGTTTTTGCGCTTGCTTAAGAAGCTTGGCAGCAGCTTTGACATAATTCAGAAAGGTTTGCTTGTTTTTTTGCATTGTTTGGCATCTTTGCATGTTTCGGTATTTTGATTTTGTTGCATTGCCTGGCATTTGCTAGTATTTTGGTATTTGTTGCATGTGTGTTTTGGCAGCATCTGCTGGGCTTTGCTAGTCCAACATGTTGCAGTATTGTTGTGTGATATGACTGGTAGTTAACATATTTTCGGAATGTTGATGGTATGTTTAGGAATGTTCATAGAATTGTTTGGCATTCTTCGGCATTCTGGCAAAAAGATCAGGGCAAGGAGATACCCTTGCCCTCGGGTTTATCTTGATGGCCGGCAAGACCGTACAAGCAACTCTGTAGATGCAGGGCAAACAACTCAAGCAACTGCCCCCAAGGTGAAGCTGAACTTCTTCGGAAGCAACTCCAGGAGGCCAGGAGAAGGATAGGCCATGAAAGCACAATGCCGAGACCCCACGAACTCTACATCCTCAGGCCCAGGACAGGATTGCAGAACTCGACGTAGTCCTGTCTTCCAGGACCTGCATGTTGAAAGGTGTTGACGGCATTGCAGAACAAGCCGGTTCCTTCTTCTGATAGTCGCAAGGAGCGAGCGAGTACGTGTCAGCGAGCGGGAGTACGCATCAGCCTAAGGTTGCATTGCCTGATTCATGCCTTGCGGGAAAAGCTTAGACCACAAAGAGCACTAAAGTCCCGTCACTCGCAGTTGCCTTTTCTCATCCTTTCTCATCCGTTCTCCAAATCGGTCACAAGAGGCCGATTTCAGCAACAACTGGGGATGCCACAGTGTCACGTCATGCAAGACCGCCGTTTGTACGTCTAGGTCTGCCCTGTTAGCAAGCAGTAGGAGCGTACACACCTGGGTCAATGTTGTCGTTTCATCATGTCACTGACGTTTGCAGTTACCGGACATCAAACATAGTCTCGAGCACGCAGCCCTCTGAGGCCGAAACACGAGTGGAGTTCGACGCGCTTTCTGTTGCCAACGATGTGCTCGCCTTGGCTCCGGATGGAACACCAAGTGTCCTCCCCGTCCGATTGCAAGCAGTTTGGGGGGCGGCCGTAGCCCACGCTGTGTTGAGATGCGCGGAGCTCTGCACTCCGCAGGCACTACGCAAAGAGCTCGAGGCCACTCACAGCCGCAACCTGGATGGTTTAGAAACTGCCGTAGTACGGTTTAGTACAGCCGTGCGGGGATGTCAAATAGAGTTGGGCTGACAGCACGCGCATGGACTTCAGGCATAGTCTCCGAGCAGCAAGGCCGGAGGGCGAGCATGTGCTCCTGAGGCAGTTCCTGATACTCTACACATGTGCGCTCCAACCTCTTCTTAGAGAGGGCCCCAATATGTCCACGAAGCTACACAAGCACTTTCATGCAATCGCGAACCCTCTCTCCCAAGTGTGGCAGACTTCATACAGCCACCTTGCGTTTTGGAAAGGTTGCCAGACGGCAGAATCGGAGCTATCCGAGTTCCAGGCGCGGATGCCAGCTTGACTCATGCGACTGCGTAGTAGGGCGTGTCCGTGGTGGTAGCGTTCATTCCAGAGGTGGGAATGACATTTCCCTAGTATACAGTTGTACTAGTACATGCGTTGATCGTAGCAAGGGAATTTGCGAATCCAAAACTTGCTTTAAAGCAGGCAGAGATCCAAGAGCCGGGGTTTTAGTCGATTTTTGCAAATACCTGGTTTCGGCCACAAAACCAGGTTTCCGACTTTGCAGCCCACCCACAACCCATAAAAAACCCGTGTGAAACCCGTAAAAACCCGTGCGAATCCCGTAAAGCCCGTGGTGGAAAGCCAGGTTTCTCCTTGCCTTCTGGAAACCAGGTTTTCTCTTTGAAAGTCGGGTTTTTAAGCACAACCTACTTTAAAGCATGTTTTGGTTGCTGTAGAATTAATCTGTCCAGGGGGCGCCTTTTTGCGGATTTTTCGGTTGCATTGTTGCACCTCAGGCGAAGATGCGCGCTGAGGAAGTTGCCTTCACCTTATTCACAGTTCATCTTATGGCCAGCTTTGCAACCCGGGGCCATCTGGCATCCACTCCTTCACTGACCGCCACCGTTCAAACGAGAGTGGCTTGTACACGTGGTTGGCTAGCCGGCGAGGCGGCAAAAGTAGCGAATTGTGATCAATGCTCGTCTCAGGAATTTGCTGCAGAAGTTGAAACTCTTGGCTCGTGTCGCCTGGGCCTGAAGAAATGTTTTCGTATGATTTCGTCGAGTTGCCTGCAAGAAAGTGGACAAGGCCGTGGTTGAAGTTTGAAATTATATAGCGAGAACCGAGCTTGCTTGCGTGCGGCTTGTGCCGGGTTGTAGGATGTGAGGACCATGTTCAGCCATCGAAGTCTGAGGATCTCATAAAGCATGTTGACTGCCGAGGCAACAGCTTGGAGGCCTCTTTGAGAGAGTCCTCTGCGAGCCTGGCCGACACGGAAGCCGCCGCTGTGTTGAAATGTGTCGAAATGTAGGCCGGTGTGGGTAAAACTAAGCTGGATCAGAAGTCTGACGGTCTAATGGAGCCTACTCTCAGTTCTTGGGTACCATGTATGATGTAGCAATAGCTGTGTTGGCCGAAGCCTGCCTCACAACCTTAGCTTGCACGCCTGCTGGATGAACAGAACCAAGCCTCCTTTGGCTAAAATCCGTCAAAGCAGCTTAGCCTCCCGACACAGACTTTCTCTTCACCTGAGGAAGTTTCCGCTGCTCGTGCGCAAAGCTTGGGCTTACGCGCACAACTGGAGGCCATGTTCTATCGATTTACATTCCCAAAGGCCAAACCGCAAGCCCGATGAGCCCTTAACCGCCCTCAACCCCTTGAGAACCATACTGTACCCTTTCGGCCCTGAACCCTAAACTTTAAACACATGTTTGGAAGCCAAACCCGTCCAAAAGCTCTGCAACCTGAACCCTCTAAACCGTAAACCCTGGATGCAATCCTGAAACCAACCCTCCTAGAACCTTAAACCTAAGCCTTGCGTGGCGAACTGCCGGGTGAAAGTACGGATGGGAGCGCAATGGGAACCCCCTCGCCCGGCGATGTAGTCTGACGGGGCAGCTTGCTGTTGCTTTGCTTCCCGTCTGTTGGGCGCACGCAAGACATCATGCACAAAGTTTGTTTCAGGTTGGTAGTTCCAATAGTACACTTTGAATAAATCGTACCTGAGGTGCTTCAAGCTGCGCGAGATGAAATCGTGTCACAGGAGCACCAGGCCGCAGCAAATGGGCACATGCACGATGGCATCATGATGCTTCAACAGCTTCTGCTGGCAGGCAAGTGCGCAACAGCGTGTAGAGGCGCATCGAACGTGTCAGTGGCACGTCAGATCAAGCCGCGTCATGGAAGACGTTCTGGCAATACTCCCGCAACATGATTGCTGACGCTTGGATCACGCTTGCCAGTCAGTTGCTGAAAGCTGCCGTCCTGACCGCTCAGCCTTCATAATGCTCAAGTCGCTTACCATACTCTGTAGATAGTTTTAGGTACCTCCGAGGCTGGGCACGTGGCACTGCACAGCTCCGTTGGCAAAGTTGATCGATCTAGCGCATGAGCAAACGCTGCGTGCGAACTCATTCGCTCTGCCTTAAGCTACATGAGAGCACAAATTGCAGCACGAGCAAGCCTGGAACCTTCTGAGCTACGTTGCAGGCATGCCTGGCTCAACTTGGCCGATGCCTGAGAGAACGAAGAGACTGGCCCTTTTTTCGAATTTTTAAGAGTACATCCCCTGCAAGCGGCCCAAAAGGATTCAGTAGCGGTTGTCCGATCAGGACCTGGCTGACACTGTGCAGCTTCCTGCTTCTCTCGCGGGGCGAGAATCAGAATGCAACCTGCAGCGCTGATAGTACTCGAGCTGCACCTGGAAGCTCGCGAGTGACTGCCTAGTATGCCATGGACCGTCGTGTGCCTGCTCCGCCTGTGCTGAGGCTGCGATCCACAGTCCTTGCTCCAAACGATGCACAGAGGGCGCCAGCTCTCCAAGGAGGGGCAGACATGGCACGGTAATGGCCAAGCATTCAGTGTTAACGGCACAGCTAGACTCAGCTAGACTCCGCCCAGGGATGTGAGGTCGGTGCCCATGCTCCTCAGCTTCACAGTTGGGTTTCGCAGATATGTTGAGTGGTCTCAAATTTGCAGCATGTAGCTGTGTGGTGTGGATTGTTGTGAACAAGACGTGCAGTCACATGATGCAGGCTACCAGTGCAGAGTGCACAGAAGTGTGCTCATCGATTCTCGGTGGTTGTTGTCATCCACACCAAGAAGCCCAGGTCAGTTGTCCACACAACCCTGGCGTCAGCTGCGTGTCTTTGTCAGCAGTATCTGCAGCAAAGATGTAATCAAGAACACTTGTAGCACATGGGCTACGCTTTCTGAGCTGCGTCGCCTAATTGAGGGCTTCAGTAGGACTCTGAAACAGGAAGGTCATTGTGAATGCTTTCGGCTTCAGCCTTAGTCAGAAGGCTCAAAGGACCCCTCGACTGAAAGACTGACATAATCAAATGAGTAAATGACATCAGAATCTGACACAATGACTTCGACACTCGACAGGCAGTCTAATGTCGTACATTCAACGCAGCTACCCCTTTGCGCACTCCGTGTCACTCCCAGAGCTAGTCTCCTTCGAACCGGATTAGCCAGGAAGAGGATTGGCTTTCGGTTAGCTCTTGACCTGGGTCAGCTTAGCAAGCTAATCCGAAGAGCTGACAGCATCACCGTGCGAGGCTGGAAACCAATGCTGCCCCCCGACACACGCTGGTGGTCCGTCATTAATCTGCCCATCCGCTGCTGATGATTTCCACGACTGCTGCTCGGTAACCATCTTGGGGCAAGGCTTTTTCTGCGACATGAAGTCTAGTGTCGGATCAAACAGTATCCATTCAGGAATGCAAACCGTGGAGGAATTGAGCGACCCACTGCAGTTCAGGTGGCAACCCAGTCAAAGTGGAGAATTGCTTGTCCGATCAGCCGCCGGCAGCCTGGATAAAGTTATGCGACCGGTTTCAGACCTTTGGAGAGCGCAATTGCGATACGTAACTCAAGTGAGTGCCATGAATGTCTTAAAAACTACAAGCAGCGAACTCTTTGAAGCTCTGTACCTAGGCACCAAGCCCACCACCTCCGGCGCCGGCGCCCTTTGTACCTCCGTCACCTCCACCACCTCCACCGCCTGCAGGTGCAGCCTCTGAGCTGCAAAGAATAAAGGGAAAAGGGAACACCAAGGGAACACCTGCGAAGTTATTCGCTAAGATAGTAAGAGATCATCTGGCATGCTTTTTGCTGAAGAAGTTGCGCTCGCCTGCTCAGAGCCGAGGCATCCCTGACGATGCGCATCCTCAACAGAGAGTGGTCTGATGGCGTGGTTTTCTGCCGCGGCCCGCAAGACGCGCTGAGCCGCTGAACTGCAGAGTTCTGGTATCTCTACGATGGGTGTCGCTGTGTGTCGACATTGCTGCCATAAGGCACTGTCTTCCTGGATCCGGCTTTGTCGCAAAGCGTACGCGGCTCGGGAATCGACTGCTCCGAGGCCATGCGCTGCCAAGCCTGTGTCGGTGATGATATGAATAGTATTAATTTTAAGGGGCTGCGCCCATGGGCGGGCAGCGCGCGCAGAAGCCCGGGGCGAGCAGTTTCTAAGCATGTTGAGGCCCCTAAACTCCCTTAAAATCTCTAAGCGTTAAGTTTCTAAGCATTTTCAGGCCCCTAAACTCCCTTCAAATCTCTAAGCGTTTGAGGCTCCTAGACTCCCTTAACGTTTCTAAGCACTTTATAAGGCCCCTAAACTCCCTTTTTCCTAGCCCCGGGCTTAGACACGTCGCTTATGCCCGCCCTTTGGGGGGCATCATGCTCCTGATGCGCCCCCGGGGTCCCGCCCCGGGAGCCGCTGATGCTCCTGATGCGCGCCTGGGGGTCCCGGGCTGGACCCGCTGATGCTCATGATGCGCGCCCTCTGGGGGCCTCCGTGGCGACGCAAAAAACCACGAAAAAAAAACCGTTCACCGGCGGCACACGGGGGTCGGCGGCACTGGCGTCCGGCCTAATTCTGCTTCGCAGAAGGCCAGAGGCCAGCAAGGCTATTCCCGGGACGACCCGGGCTAAAAGGTCCGCATTTGCTCGGTCCTTTGGGGACCTCGCGCTGCCCGATTTAAGGGCTAACGCCGCTGCCGCCGACCCCCGTGGAACCGGGGGTTCGGTGCGCGTGTGGGGTCGGCCCCTAGCAATACAACATCGCGGCCAGAGGCCGAGACCCCTGTGGGGTGGGGGGGGTTGCCGGGGGCGGGGGGGTCCCCTGGTCCGGGGAGGAAGGGGGGCGGGGTTTGGGTGGTGGACTTCGGGCTCGGGAGGAGTAGGGGGTAGGGGCAGGGCAAGCACGCACGGAGCGTTTTTGTGGGTTGGCGGTCAAATATCGTCGGTTCTGAACCCGACAAAAAAAGTGTTTTGAGTTTTTTGGGGCCGGCAAGGGGGGGGTTTTTGGTCGGGGGGCGGAAGGGGGTCCCTGGTCGGGGGGCGGAAGGGGAGGGGGTGGTGGTGGGGGTCGGGTGGGTCCCGGTCCCCTGGTCGGGGGGTGGGGGAGAAAGGGGGGTGTGGGGGGGTAAGGGGGTCAGCGCCACCAGCAAGGAACGGGTTTGCGTCGTCAGGTCGGGGGGGTCCCCTGGTCCGGGGCGGAAGGGGAGGGGGGTGGGGTTTGGGTGCGGGCTCGGGAGGAGTAGGGGGTCGGGGCAGGGCAAGCACGCACGGAGCGTTTTTGTGGGTTGGCGGTCAAAAATCGTCGGTTCTGAACCCGACAAAAAAAGTGTTTTTGAGTTTTTTGGAGCCGGGAGGGGGGGGTCCCTGGACGGGGGGCGGAAGGGGGTCCCTGGTCGGGGGGTTCTGAACCCGACAAAAAAAGTGTTTTTGAGTTTTTTGGGGCTGGAAGGGGGGGTCCCTGGTCGGGGGGCGGAAGGGGAGGGGGTGGTGGTGGGGGTCGGGTGGGTCCCGGTCCCCTCGTCGGGGGGTGGGGGAGAAGGGGGGTGTGGGGGTAAGGGGGTCGGGCCACCAGCAAGGAACGGGTTTGCGTCGTCAAATCAGGGTGGGGTCAGGGAGGTGTTTTTTGGGGGCTGGAGGGGGTCCCTGGTCGGGGGGGTCCATGGTCCTGGGCTCACTGACAGGTGGTTCGGGGTCGCGGGGGCAGGAAGGGGGGTGGGTTTGGTTGTGGACTTCGGTCTTCGGAGATAGGGGGTAGGGCCGGCAAGCACGCACGAGCGTTTTTGGGGTTGGCGGTCAATATGCGTCGTTTCTGAACCCGACAAAAAATGTTTTTGAGTTTTTTTGGGGCCCCCCCCCCCCCACAAACCGGCAAGGGGGTTTTGTGGTCGGGGCGGAAGGTGTCCGGTCGGGGGGGCGGAAAGGGGAGGTGTTGGTGGTGGGGGTCGGTGGGTCCCGGTCCCCGGGTGCGGGGGTGGGGAGAAGGGGGGTGTGGGGGGTAAGGGGGTCAGGGCCACCAGCAAGGAACGGGTTTGGGGGGTCCCCTGGTCCGGGGCGGAAGGGGAGGGGGGTGGGGTTTGGGTGGTGGACTTCGGGCTCGGGAGGAGTAGGGGGTAGGGGCAGGGCAAGCACGCAAAAAAAGTGTTTTTGAGTTTTTTGGCCGGGAGGGGGGGGTTTCTGGACGGGGGGCGGAAGGGGGTCCCTGGTCGGGGGGGTTCTGAACCCGACAAAAAAAGTGTTTTTGAGTTTTTTGGGGCTGGAAGGGGGGGTCCCTGGTCGGGGGGCGGAAGGGGAGGGGGTGGTGGTGGGGGTCGGGTGGGTCCCGGTCCCCTCGTCGGGGGGTGGGGGAGAAGGGGGGTGTGGGGGTAAGGGGGTCGGGCCACCAGCAAGGAACGGGTTTGCGTCGTCAGGTCGGGGGGGTCCCCTGGTCCGGGGCGGAAGGGGAGGGGGGTGGGGTTTGGGTGGTGGACTTCGGGCTCGGGAGGAGTAGGGGGTAGGGGCAGGGCAAGCACGCACGGAGCGTTTTTGTGGGTTGGCGGTCAAATAGCGCCGCCCGTAAAAAAAGTGTTTTGAGTTTTTTGGAGCCGGGAGGGAGGGGGTCCCTGGACGGGGGCGGAAGGGGGTCCCTGGTCGGGGCGGAAGGGGAGGGGGTGGGGGTGGGGGTCGGGTGGGTCCCGGTCCCCTGTCAGGGGGTGGGGGAGAAGGGGGGTGTGGGGGGTAAGGGTCAGGTGGGCAGGGGGTCAGGGCCACCAGCAAGGAACGGGTTTGCGTCGTCAGGTCGGGGGGGGGTGGGTCAGGGAGAAAACAGTGTTTTTTGGAGGCCGGGAGGGGGGGTCCCTGCTCGGGGGTCAGGTGGGCAGGGTCGGGGTTCCCTGGTGGGGGGGGTGGGGGAGAAGGGGGGTGCGGGTGGGGGGGGTCGCCAGAGGTGGGGGGGTCGCCTGGTCCCGGGCGGAAGGGGAGGGGGGTGGGACTTCGGGCTCGGGAGGAGTAGGGGGTAGGGGCAGGGCAAGCACGCACGGAGCGTTTTTGTGGGTTGGCGGTCAACTATCGTCGGTTCTGAATCTGACAAAAAAGCGTTTTCGAGTTTTTTGGGGCCGGGAGGGGGGGGTCCCTGGTCGGGGGGCGGAAGGGGGTCCCTGGTCGGGGGGCGGAAGGGGAGGGGGTGGTGGTGGGGGTCGGGTGGGCGCGGGTGGGGGAGAAGGGGGGTGTGGGGGGCAAGGTGGGCAGGGGGTCAGGGCCACCAGCAAGGAACGGGTTTGCGTCGTCAAATCAGGGTGGGGGGTCAGGGAGAAAACAGTGTTTTTTGGGGGCCGGGAGGGGGGATCCCTGGGGTCGCATGGTCGGGGCTCAATGAACAGGGGGTCGGGGTCGCCGGGGGCGGGGAGGGGGGTGGGGTTTGGGTGGTGGACTTCGGGCTCGGGACGAGTAGGGGGTAGGGGCAGGGCAAGCACGCACGGAGCGTTTTTGTGGGTTGGCGGTCAAATATCGTCGGTTCTGAACCCGACAAATTTGAGTTTTTTGGGGCCGGGAGTCCCTGGTCGGGGGGCGGAAGGGGGTCCCTGGTTGGGGGGCGGAAGGGGAGGGGGTGGTGGTGGGGGTGGGGTGGGTCCCGGTCCCCTGGTCGGGGGGTGGGGGAGCAAGGGGGGTGTGGGGGGTAAGGGGGTCAGCGCCACCAGCAAGGAACGGGTTTGCGTCGTCAGGTCGGGGGGGTCCCCTGGTCCGGGGCGGAAGGGGAGGGGGGTGGGGTTTGGGTGCGGGCTCGGGAGGAGTAGGGGGTAGGGGCAGGGCAAGCACGCACGGAGCGTTTTTGTGGGTTGGCGGGCAAATATCGTCGGTTCTGAACCCGACAAAAAAAGTGTTTTTGAGTTTTTTGGAGCCGGGAGGGGGGGGTCCCTGGACGGGGGGCGGAAGGGGGTCGGTCCCTGGTCGGGGGGCGGAAGGGGAGGGGGTGGGGGTGGGGGTCGGGTGGGTCCGGGTCCCCTGGTGGGCGGGTGGGGGAGAAGGGGGGTGTGGGGGGTAAGGGTCAGGTGGGCAGGGGGTCAGGGCCACCAGCAAGGAACGGGTTTGCGTCGTCAGGTCGGGGGGGTGGGTCAGGGAGAAAACAGTGTTTTTTGGGGGCCGGGAGGGGGGTCCCTGGTCAGGGGTGGGGGTCGACAGGTCGGGTGGGTCGGGTCGCATGGTCGGGGGGTGGGGTCGGGGGTAAGGGTCAGGTGGGCAGGGGTCGGGGTCCCCTGATCGGGGGGGTGGGGGAGAAGGGGGGTGTGGGGGGTAAGGGTGGGCAGGGGGTCAGGGCCACCAGCAAGGAACGGGTTTGCGCCGTCGGGTCAGGGAGAAAACAGTGTTTTTTGGGGGCCGGGAGGGGGGGTCCCTGGTCAGGGGGGAAGGGAAGGGTGGGGGGGGGGGGGTCGTCAGGACTACCTCCCGTGTAAAGGGCTTCCCGGGCGCTCGACCCCAAAGGCGGGGTCGGCGGATAGCATTAATAACATCAACAATGTTAACAATCATAATAATACTAGTAATGAGGGAAGAACACGCTGCCTGTTGCAGGGTACTGGGCATGACACGTTCGGGCACGGTGCACCTTGGCCATGACAACTTCAGATTTGCTGGGTACGACTACGGCACGTGACGAAAGCACGGAAAGATAGGCTGATAAGCACCAGGAATCTCACCATGATTCGTATTATTATGATGATGAATATTGTTGATGTTATTATTATTATTAATATTAATCATATTCCCCCGTGCTCCAAGGTCCCGGATCTGACGACGCTTTGCATGCCCCTGAAGAAGGGGGAGTCGATTCTTGGACTGGGAGCTCCAGCATGGGCTTGTTCAGGATGGGGCGCCCGAGGGGGAGCGGCTTGAAGAAGAATGCTACGTTCAATCAAGTTTGTTTCTGGATCTAGAAGCATGATTGTGGACAAGGAGTCATGAAAACGTGTTCCTCTTGAAAGGAAGGAATTCAAGGGAGGAGGAAGGAAGGGCGGGAGGGAGGGAAGGAAGGAACGAACGACAGAAGGCACGAAGCAAGGAAGGAAGAAAGCAAGAGTTCAAAGAAGCAGTGCTCTCAACATCATCCTACTGAGACTGGCCGTGATCCCTCGTTTTGCATCGCCCTACCTTATTGCCCGGATCGGTTTGTACTAGCACTCGGGTTGTCTCTGTCTTTGGTAGAGCTAGTGGGAGCGGGAAGGGTCACTCCCACTGGCCCGAACCTCGTCAAGGTTCGCCAAGAGTTCCTTCCTTGGACTGGTTGAGCTAGCTTCGCATCGTTCAGCTGAGGATTGAGCTCTTCTTTGGCGAGGGGGGGAACTGGCCTTCCGGCACCTGCTGGTTCCAGGATATAGCATCCAACCAGCAGCACTCGCACCCTGCTTGGACACATGGAGTTTGTTCCCTTTCAGTGTATCATGGAAGAACATCAAGCCGCGTCGTGTTGCATCAGCAGCCAGGGTCCTGAGCGCGCAGAGATGTAGGGGCCCGATCACATGCAATCCTGATCTCATCTGCATCACGACGACTACACTGCCCTTCTTCATGTCCAGCTAGCCATCTAATGTGTATCAAAGCTGAAGGCCTTATGCGAATGAGGGATGTGAGAGCGCAACCAAGGCTATCAATGGGCCCTCAATACCAGAGCCAGGTCGAGTTCACGAGCCTTGGTGGTGACAAAACTGAGATCCCAAGGCTTTGCGTCCCGCTTGGAGATGACAGGAAGTGATTGTTCAAAGTCGGTCCGATCTTCCAAGGATCACAACAGTGGTGTCCTGGGATCTGACATCTGTGGAAGGAGTGTCTGGAGGTCTCACGATGAATTATACTGATGGTGGTGGCAAGGTGACTGCTGCTCAGCCAAACTCCTAGCCCAGCTTGGTGACATTGAAAGCACAAAGAAGTAGATTGAGTAGCTTACGTCCATGTGCAGAAACTCCCAAAGCTCGCGTGTTGCAAGCGTGGATATCAGTTTCAAGCTCAAGACCGACTTGCAAACAAAACGCACACACACCTGTGCCAAGGATGTCGTTGCATTGCCTGGCAAATTTTCTGGTTCGGCCTTGAAGATCGAACCAGCCCCGGGCATTGGCTTTCCGACAGTTCTTGCCGATAAGCACCTCACTTGTTTAATGTTCCAAGGGTAGTTGCATGGTCCCGTACCTCCTTTAAAGGGTTGTAAAGTATGGGCCCTTGGGTTGTAGAAGGTATATAAGGGGTATATAAGGGTTCCATTCAAGGTCCCACACTAAGGAGCATGCAACTACCCGTAGAAATGTAAGGAGGAAGTGGCAGCCAGTGGTGCTTCTTGCTTTACGGGAGAGGTTGCCCAGGTGGTTCCTTCAAGTGAGTTTGAGGTGTCGCACAGCACTTTCATGCAGTTGCCAGCGCTAGATCTCAATTCCTCTGAGGCACCGGTACGGCGAGTGCAATTGTCCTGTCTTCTCACCTGGAGACCCAAACTGCAATAATGACGCTCGGAAGTCACTTGTTGGGACATGGTGCAGGGCTTTATCAGGTTCAAGCGTGTTTTATCCGTCATAGAGGGAAGGTTGCTTGATGCTTCGGCTCCCTTGCAGAGAGGGCTGGGGTGTTCCAAGCCGGTGCCCAGGTTCAGGAAAAGAATCTCCCAAAAACTCCACGCTTGGGATTTTATGTTTTTTGAGAGGTTAAAAAAGGGAAGGGACAGCCCCGCGTTCCCAAAGTTTCGTGGCACGCGGGAGACCTCGGTGGACTTGGCGACATCAAGAGGTCAATAAGGCCATGACAACAGAAATTATTGTGTTCTTGGCCAACGCTTGGGCCTGAGCGATGTAGCATGTCGTAGCCTCGGGGCCTAAAAGGAAGTGGCTATTCTGCAGCATGCTCCTGCTCAGGACGCCTGCTACACTGGATGTCCTGGATCTTTGGCTGACAACCCTTGCGGCCCCTCGAGTCGCACAGCTCTCTTCGAGTGATGGGGTTATCTGCAACAGACACGCTTGCCACCCATGTTCCCTTGGCATTGCCCTCAAAGGAAGGAGTGATTAAACTCCAGGTTAGACAACCGTCACACTCTTTACCCAGTGTTGAGATGCTCACGACACCGGAGTAAACTGAACTCCCAGAGTTCTGGAGTGAAGCGGAGGTCAGCACCGTTGCCGACAGTGGTATGCTCGGAGCTACGAGACCTCCGAGAGCTACTGCGGATGGTTGTATGCAACCCGCCCTCCCCTTCTGGTTGGAATTCGGGTGTCTTGTTTAGCCAAGTTTGGATTGGCGAATTGCTTAAACACATCAGTGGTCAGATGCAGCAAAAAGAGCGGGGGCAACTGCAGCCTGCAGACCTACTTTAGGACTTTAGGCATTGGGCGTGCAATATCTTGCAATGCATCTGTATACTCTGTGATCGAAATGTCCTGGATCTGCACGGCGGTGGCCAAGATGCAAGATGTCTCGAGGGCCACCGGACAGGGTTTTCAGGCACCAAAAACGCGACACGATTTCGCACCCTTGCCCTTGCAACGGCTAACCGTTGCCGAAAAATGGAACCTCGTGCACCCCTTCCATCTCTCAGAGGCTGCAGCTTCGGGAGTCTCAGGGTTAGGGTCTCGGCTAGGGACCATAGGGACCCTATGTTACGGGGTTCGCAAGACTTCAGAGACCCCTATGACGCGCTGACTGTTTGGGAGGTTTTCGTTTCGAGTCGGCATTGCAAGCTTGCCATAGCTTGTAGGATGTGCGGAGTTGGAATGAGCATTGAGAGTTTTAGTAGAGCGTTGTCAGCATTGTAGTACGGCAAAGTCCTGAGTTTCCATGAGCTGCGTGCTAGGCAAACGATGCAGAGACATACTGTTGGGCCATGGACGAGTCTTGTCTGTCATCAAGCGTTGCTTCGAACTGAGACATCCCCAGATCTGCAAGCTTTCAATTGTCGTATCTTGAGTTGATACCACATGTTGCGGCCTTCACTTGGGGGCATCTTTGGGGGGGAACGATGTTAGGGGTACCTTCTTGTGGTCCTTGCAGTAAGGGGATCCGGCTACTTGGGGGGGCATTTATTAGGGGGTCCCTTGTCATCGTAAACTCCCCTTTGTCTCCTTCGGGCTCCCCAACCTCCGAAGCCCAGGAGTGGAAGTGCATCGATAGCACCTGCGGATATGGGGCCCCGGATCAGCCCAGCGAGGAAGAGTGAAACTATGTGCTTTCTTTGCTTTCTTTGCATTTGCTGTGGCTGAACTTGTGCTGGAACTCTGTCAGGACTGCAGCACGGTCTCGGGGAACCCGAACTTTGCAGCCAATACTTACAGCTGCGCCCCGCCTGAGGGACAATGACCTCATATTGCTTCAGACCAGATGCTGCACAGAGGTATGTCGATGTATCTCGACTACGTATCTCGACTAAAAGCCGGGGCTCACACGTGATCACACGCAACTCTCAAGGTGGCCACATCAAGGACCAGCCCGCCTTTCCCAGCGGCAAATGGTGGATCCATGCCGTCGGCTGTACCGACAAACTCGCCTCTCGCCTTTTGTGAGCCCACCAGCCCATCAGGGCTGTGACTGGGAACAGCTCATGTCGTGCGCAGTTAGCAATGTACGCTTCTCCAGGTCCAGGGTGTCCCAACCAATCCAATCTTGCCACGAGCGGGTGGCGTCATCGAGACTTGCCTGCATCGGAACAGTTTGTCATTTTGCCGAGCTGGACGCAGTTACCATCCTGCATTTATCGGTGTTGGCGCCCACTGGCCACACTGCTGCCGCAAGAAACTTGACTCTTGGAAGCTTGGGTGTGAAAGTCAGCACGTTGCATGAAATTCCAGCGTCTGCTTGGGGATTTGTTATTCCCCTTCTTCACGTGGCGTACCAAAGAAGAGCCAGAAAACATTCTACAGGAACAGACTTTAGTCGCATCAGCTCTCATAGATCCCACGCCACCAGGGGAGTATGCAGCCATCTGCGTGGGGATTGGCCGGTTTTCATGCATTTGATGCCACTGATGCTTCGCTGAGCGGGGGCTTGTGAAATCGAGCGTTTGCGTGAGGAAGGTTCGCAACTGCATGGAGCACCGTTTTCTCATGTGTGTCTAGTGCTGACTGGAAAATTCAGATCAAAATGATCTGGAGGTCACGTCTTGCCAGGTTCAGAAACTGCAGCAGTGAGGGTAGTTTCCTGCAGGTACATGACTGATCGCCCCCAACAACTTCCGTTCCGGTGACCCAGCTTCGTTGGATCAGGTCAGTCACGGGAAGCCTGATCCCCCTGCATGAAAATCTCGAAAACTGCTCCAACACTTTGCAAGAAAATCTCGAAAAAACTGCTTTAGCATTGGCTTCGGATCGAATTAGGCTTAAACCCCTTTGCCTCTGAACTGAGGTGGTTCACACACAAGCAGTCCAAGAGTTGCGAAAGATTGCGAAAGCAAATGGTTTTCGAAAAGGCTGAAAAGTTTAATTTTGGTAGAGCGGCTTTCCTCGAGCATGTTTCTTCAAGCGTTCTGCGAAGAAGGTTAATACGCCACGACGATACGGGGTTTTAATTGTCATGTTCGCTGTCCTTTGTCCACGAATGGCCAAGTTCAAGTGGGGTAAGTTCAAAAGCGCTTGGCTTGGCAAGATCAGTCAGTGGCACGGCATTGTATAGCCAGACGTGGGAAAGAGGTTACACCTAATGACGCCCAAGAGCCCGCACAGTCCACACGATGCCACGAAATTCTCGTAAAAACCTGCACCCCCAGAGCGCAAAACCAGGTCGGTCCGTCAGGCAATATGTCTCGACTTTCACCAACGGAATGCTCAAGCCCTTCCCGCACGTCCGCGAATTGTGTTATACAAGCTCAACTCCACTGAAAGCGTAAGTTGTCCGGCCCGAGACACTTCCCCCACTGTTGTACCAAAATCGAAGTCTGTCGGGCCTGGCGTTCGGGGGCCGGGGATGTAGAAGTGCGGGCTCCGACCTCGTCCAGAAGCCGGCTGCCGGTGCTTTGGCACGGCTCGTGGAGGTGAAGGCAAAAAAATCGAAGATTGCGGGGGATCATGCTTCATAAGGACATCAGCTTTGACAACTTGCCCTGGCTGCACGAGTGAGTGGCCTCTGCTGCAGGCAAGGTCTTCTCTCCTGCAAAGACAGTTTTGTAGAGCTCGGAAGTTCGGCCGTAGGGCCTGACTTCGTGCTCAAATGTTTGTGGCGCCTCATGCCACAACTGCGGCTTTCCTCTCTCGACACACGACTCGCATCAAATCTGCTGAGAAGTTGACCAACTCCAGCTGGCAGGAGAGCCGCATGCTTAGCACCACCCTTACAGCTTTGAGGGATGAAGAATGAGCAGGACCTGTGAAAGTCGCACAGGAGCAAAAAGCACCGTAACTTGTAACACAAGAGATGTTACAGCCACATCGAGCCACAAGCAAGAGCAGGTGGAGCGCTTGGAGGCAAAGGCCGAGTCGTTGGCGGCTGAGGCGACCTGCGGGAAGCGGAAGTGCGCACCACGAGGATTCGCCGGTTTCGACTAGAAGCAGACACTTGCAGGAAGACTGTACCGGACTCCAGGCACTGGAGCTTTCTCGGCGACACGAGCAAGCCAAGCTCTCCATCCAGGAGCCGAGTTTGGCATTCTCGACTGGTTCAAGGTAATGCAGACAGTAAGGTCCCTCAACCGCAAGGCCTAAGGCCTTGGCCCTTGATGCCGTTTGCCCTTGACCGCCCAAGCTAATGAGTACACCAACCCAACAAACTTCTACACTGCTTCCAGACGACCCTTCGCGTCACGACCCCCCGCGTTCCAAAAGGATATTCAAAGATTCCGAAAGACAATTCAGAAGATCCAAGATAGAATTTCGCAGACAGCCCTCTCATCGGTTTTTCACCCCCCTTTCAGCCTTCGTGGTCCACGGTGCCGGATGATACTGCGGATGGTGAGCCGAAGCCTTGTGTGATAGGATCTCGGTGCACGCCTTCTGCTGCTGTTGCTGCCTGCGTTGTTCTGCCGGCGTTGTTGCTGCCGACGTTGTTACTACCGGCGTTGTTGCCGCTGGCATTGCTGCTGCTGGCGTTGCTGCTGCCGGCGCTGCTGCCGCCGGCGTTGCTGCTGCCGGCGTTGCTGCCGCTGGCGTTGCTGCTGCCGGCGTTGCTGCTGCAGGCGTGGCTGCTGCTGGCGTTGCTGCTGCTGCCGCTGCTACTGCCGTTGCGACTGCTGCTGCCGCCGCTGTTGCTGAGCTTGTGGTTGCCGAGCCATGTCGTCGCGGATGAGATTGAGCAGGGTGTTCTTCCGCAATCGCAGGAAGCGCAGGATGTGCAGATGCAAAGGTCACGGCCCCAATGCTCTCGTCTGGACATGTTTCGTCCTGATATGTGCTCGCCCCGCATTAGACATATTAGACATTGCCTTGCCCCAGGGGCGGCGAAGGCAAGCCTCTCGAAGAGGAGCTGCCGATTGACAGCCTGTCATAGTTTAGACTTGCCAGGGTAGTTCAAGAACAGTTTTGAAGAGCACGATGCCGTTTCCCTCCTCACTACGTCACGAAGGGCGACAAAGTTTTGTCAAATTGGCATGGGGCTGACCACACTACAGAGAGAATCTGCCTAAGTTAGAACAACATGTTTCGTCGTGCCTCCATGCCCCGCCCACGTCCTCAGAGTTTGCATGTGTAACGACTTGCTGAGTCTATTTGTCATGCACGCCTTCACATCGAGCTCGAGAGTCCATCGTCGGAAGACCCTAAGCGCAAAAGACATGCCGCCGTTCCCAATCATTTAGCCCCAGGGCAACACTCTTCCTCCGAAAAATCAGGGGCTGAGCAGTAAAACGGGGGCGAGTACTTTGTCAGAGTTGTTCAGAATCGTCATGACATGTTTATGAGTATAGTTAATAAATCGTTTATCATTGAATCATTGCAGATTCCCGTGGAGTATCGACGTGACGTGGCCGAACACGCATCCCCAGCACTCGCAGCCACATTGCCAGAATCATCTTCCCAGCCCTTACTCAAGATGACCTAGAGAATCCCGAGAGAATCCCACAGTCTTCCATCGGAAACATGCCTCAGCCTCAGGTTCATGCGCTTGTATGTGTCTGTGCTCATATGTGCCGGTAGGATGCCCTGAGCGCTGCACGCCTGGCGGCCACAGAGCGCTGCCGTCGAGCACGTGACGAAGTCGCAGAGGCGCAGAAAATCGCAGAGGGGCTCAAATCTCGAAGCAAGGCCATGGAGTCTGCATACGGTGATATTTCATAGTGAAGGTTGCGACAGGGCTTCAGAACCTGATTGCCTGTGCTGTACTCTGACGGAGGCAGAGCAGCGATTGGGTGAACGGCTTCGACGCTTGGGTGCGGTGCGGCAACAGAAGCTGCAGTTGGTAGCCAGCTCAGAGCTACCACTAGTATGACAAAGCTGGTAGCTGCCAGATGCAAAGCGACGCTGCTCAACCGTCCTTGCATGTGGTCTTCGTTCGGTGCACTCAATTTCCGCTTAACAGTGAAATTCATGCAGCACTTGGTTCAACAGTTCGGATTCGCATGTCGCTGTCGCAAGAGTCATGCCACCAGAAGTCACCACAGCCCAGCAGTCAAGGCTCGCGAGCTGGCCTCTGTCCGCGAGTCAGGCGGAGAGCTGCATATTATGCGGCAGTATGTGCATCCGCATGTTTTTCGCAATTTATTGTAAGGCTCTGCTTGAATTGCGTGAATATGGCACAGTTCCGGACGGCTAGTCGTCCAAAGAATCTCGACCTTCGTTTACATGGAGCAGCTTCCGGACACTGCAGTGCTAGCGCCGGCGCTGGACGAAGCGATGTTGTCAGATCAAGGGTGCCCTGGAAGTCTTGGTGCTCCACGCTTGTTTCAGAAAAGCAAGCTTCAATCAAGTTTCTCAGTGTTTCCGTCTTTGGAATCCCTTGAAGATCGATACCCCCTTTCAAGCGATGACCTTTTTGCTCGGCATCCTGATGTTGTTCAATATTTGATCACAGGCGAGACCTGAAGTAAGCAAAAAGGCAAGCCTTAAGCGATCTCAGCCGGACCGTCACCCACACGAGCCATCTGTGAGTCGTAACGCCTACGTGCCAAGAAGACTTCTTTCCAGGGCACCCTGGGTGTTTCATGAAAGGTTCGCCACACTCAAAACCAATGCTCGCGATGTAACGTTACTGGCGCCATCTAAAGAACAATGGTGAGACGGTGAGCCGCTGAATCAGCTGCGGCGTATGCAGTAGCGGAGTTGCTGACGCTTGCCTCCAACACAGGGGCCACTGTCGTCTCTGCCCGCAAGCCTGCCCTGAGCTTACGTCCCGCTTGCGCCGACTCTTCCACCGGTGTAGTGGCCAGACCTGCTCAACACTGTATTGTGGTGTGCTAGAGGCACGTCGCGCAAAGAGCGCAAGCAGCATCCGACGAGCAGAGGCGGCTGGCCATGGAAGCTTTGGAAGCAAGGTGGCAAAAGCCTGCACCCTGAGTTGCCACGAGCAGGCTCCATCAACCAAGAGCAGCTTCTCGCCCAGGGATGGATGGGCGTCATTCCAGATTCACCAAGAGCTGGAGCTGCTCCAGAGGCCTTAAGTTGAAACCAACATTGAACTTGGCAGCTCGTTCCCCCAACCTGCTAGTACGGCTTGCCAGGATACGCAAGGCAAGCAAGTGGTGTTACCGGTTCAGCACAATAGAGGGTGCGGTCACAGATTCACGCAAAAGGAGTTGTGCGGCCAGCTGTGAATGTCACATGTACCCTGCGCGCTGTAGAAACTCATTCTGCACGTTCGCCATCCTACAAGCAAGGATAGCAACGTTCGTCACGATAATTCCAGCCAACCTGATGAACTGT